GGGGGAGAGGGGAGGGGGGAAAGAGGGGAGAGGGGAGGGGGAAAGAGGGGATTGCTTGGCAGGAGGTGAGCAGCACCGTACAAACACAGGAGAGGGGGAGGGAGGGAGTTGTACGGCACCTGGATTATGCGGGCAAAGTTGGTCAGGATTGGGTTCAGAGGTCAGATGGCCGTGGGGGCACGGGGTTGGGCGATAGGTACATTAGGGCAAGAATGCAGAGACCGACAGACCGACAGACAGATAGACAGACAGACAGATGCACCTGTGCGGATCGCAGCTCTTGCTCTTCCGCCTCCACCTCCTCGAGCATCTCGTCCAATGTAGGGCCCTCAACGGCAGCGGCGGCGTTTCCGGCGACACTGCCGCCGCCGCCGCCGCTGCCGCCGCCGCCGCCGCCGCCGCCAAAGGTGCCACGCGCCGGTGGCACCGCCGCCGCGCGCAACGGTGCCGCCACGGTTTCGCCGTACGGTCCAGCACGTGGCAGAGGCGGCGCTGCCGGCAACTGCGGCATGGGCACTGCCGATGGCATCCGAGCGACCCACGTTCCTGGCGGCAGCGGCGGAGGCAGAAAGGCATGGTACGGCACCGAATCGACCGTCGCTGAGAAAGCGGCCGCCGCGGGACCCGGATTGGGAGCCAGAGCATCGGAGGCCGTACTTCCCGGTGCCACCGCCATCTGAACTGGCTGGTTCCGGAGCGGCGACGACGGCGGTTGCGCCGTCTCCCTCGCCTGCCGGACTTGCTGTACGGCAGGGTGGCGGAGGTCCCTCTCAGGGTCGAAGTCGGGGTCCTCGTCAAACCAGTCCGCGTCGTCAGCCGCCTCCTCCCCCGCGTCCGCGTCCGCATCCTCCACATCCGGATCCAGATGTAAATCCAGGTCTCGGCCTAATACTGCCCGAACCGGATCTAGATCCGGAACCCTGGATTCCAGAACGCCAGGATCTGCCGCTGGCGCTGCGGTGCTGGCCGCCGCAACAGCGTCACGCTCCTGTGACGGCTGTGTTGCCTCTTGGCGCTGCTCCTGCTGCTGCTGCTGCTGCTGCGGCGGCGGCGGCGGCGGTGGCGGCGGTGGCGGCGGTGGCTGAGCGGGTGGCAGCAGCGGCTCCTGCCTTGAAGGTGGCGGTGGCGAAGGTGGTTTCGGAGCAGGGCCGGCACTGGGCGGTGGCTGGGCCGTTGTCGGCAGTAGCATTTCCTCGGCCTCCACAAAGCCGAAATCAAAGTCCATCTCCATGTCCGCTGAGGCCGTTGTCGCCGCCGGGCCAGGAGGCTCTACATCTAACGCCCCCGCTGCCGCCCCCGCCCCCGCCCCCGCCACCCCCGCCGCCGCTGCTGCTGCTGCTGCTGCTGCTGTTCGTGCACCTGCAGTTGCCGTCACTGCAGTTACCGTACACGTGAGTTGTGGAGGTACGGCTACAGCCGCCGCAGCCGTTGGTATCGCTGTTGCGGCTGCGGGTGCGGACAGCGACACGAGCCCGACAAACCCAAAGTCAAAGTCGTCAATGTCTTCAGCCGCATCGCCGGCATGGCGAAGCCCCTCAACGCCGCCACCCCCGCTGCCGCCGCTGGCACTCGCCGCCGCTGCCGCCGCTTCGGCCGCTCCGCCAGCTGCGGCCGGAGAAGGCCCGCCAGCGCTACCGCCGGACAACCCTGCGCCAGAGCTTAGCTCCTGCAGCCGCCTCGCGCTGCTGCTGTTGATCTGCGAGATCAAGCTCCTGGTGCTACTGCCAACACCAACAGCAGCTGTCGCTGCTGCTGCTACTGCTTCGCTGCACACTTTCCCACTAGCTTCCCCCCCAAGCTGTCCCAAATCGCCACCACCCGGAAAAACGGCCTGCGGCTTAAGCGACCTTTCGCCGGAGCCAAGTGCTGCAACAGCTGGCCCCGACCCAGCGGCTGTAGCGGCAGTAGCGGCTGTACCAGCAGTAGCAGCAGCGATGCCAGTAGCAGCAGTAGCAGCGGGAGGCGGTTGACTAGGTCTCGCGGGGGGTAAGTCTAACAGGCGCCTAGCGGCGGCGACACGTGAGGTCTTCTTTCCCCCCGTCGTCGAGATCCCGTCCGCCCCGTCCGCCAGTACCTGGCTGCCGTGCGGAGGGGGAGACACAGCGCGCCCAGCCGCTACCGCCGCCGCCGCCGCCGTCGCGGCGGCGGGTGCGTTACTGGCGGCGCTGGCCACTCTCATAGCGGCTTCCAGCTCGTCCAAGTCGGCGTCAGCGGCTTCCCAGATGATGTCCCCGTCGCTGACGCTGTCGGGAGATGCCGCCACCGCCGCTGGCGGCTGCCGTGCCGCCGCAGCGGCGACTGCCGGCCTTGTGTCGCCGCCGTCGCTGCCACGAGCATTAGGTTGCTCAACCACTGCTGCCGCCGCCCCCGCCGCTGCGAAGAGGCCGCGGCGTGGGGCGAGGGGGCGAGGATCGCCGCCGTCGCCGTCACCGCCAGCCGGCTGCGACCGCGCCAGGCGAGACAGCCCCAGGGCCCCCAGGAACGACCCTTGGGTCGCTCTCGACGGAGGAGCCGACACACCTACAGCCACCGCTGCCGCTGCCGCCTCCTGGGCAGGCCCGCTTGCCGCCGCACTAGGGACCGCGGCCTGTAGCGGCGATGCCTCGACGACGTCCTCCCACTCGAACTCATCCTCATCGCCGCCATTCAATGGCGCTACAGCCGACTGTGACTGTAGCTGCTGCGGCTGTAGCTGCTGCGGTTGTAGCTGCTGCCGTTGGTGCTGCAAGCTCTGCCGGATGGCCTCTTGAACCGCCGCATCCTCCTCCTCCGCCTCCACATCGCCATCTCCATCGTACTGCTCCTCCTCCTCCTCCCCTGCTGCCGCCGCCGCCGCCGCATCCACCCCGCTCCCGCGCCCTCCACCGGCGGCTGCTGCCACCAGCTCCTGCCGCCGGAGCTGCCTCCGCCGCTCTGCAGACCCACGGGTCGTTCCTCCTCCTCGTCCTCCTCCACTTGTCCGGTGCCGCCTCTGTCCGTCTGTCCCCCCTTGATCCCCTTGGCCCCAGTCTGCCAGCTTCCGCCCCATCCTGAACCCGTGGCTGGTGCTCCAGAGCTTCTGACGGGCGGCCATGCGTTCCCGCCAGTCCCGGGGTCGAGCCCCGGTGAGGGCGACGGTTGCAGCTGTGGGGGATGAGAGACGGGGAAGGTGTGCGGCTGGGAGGTACCGGTTGTGGCCCGGTGTGGGATGATGGGGAGCCCGAAGAAGGGGGTTAGGGTCCCATTGAGGATTTTGCCGCTTGAGGGTAGGGTACAGTTTTGAGGGTGTTCTGTCGGCTCGTCGCTGTGTGTGAAATCAGTGCGCTGTGTGTGTATGTATGTGTGTCGGCATGTGTGATGGCTGATGGGAGGTGACAGTGAGAGGTTGAAGGAGATGCAGTAGGGATCGAGTGAAAAAGGTTAGCTAGTTCGCCCTTGCCGTACGCCCGTCGTACAAGCGGTTATAAGCCCCCGAGCGCTCGCACCCGCCACAGAAGGGGCCGCGGCCTCCGCCTCCACGTCCTCCCATTCGACGTCGTCAAGGCCGGTGGCGGCGGCGCCGCCAGGCGCCGCCGCTGCCACCGCCGCCGCAGTGGCGGAGGCCACCCCAGTCGCCGCCAAGCTGGCGGCTCCGGGGTTAGCGGCGACATGGGCACCACTGGCGGTAGCACTAACTCCCACGTCATCGTCGTCCGTACTGCTACTGCCAAACATGCCTTGCGCGCTGCCGCTACTGGCGGCTTCCGCGTCCGACAGCTGCAGCTCAAGGACAGCACCGCGCACCAACACTCCCTCCATCGCTACAGCCGCCGCCGCCGCCGGCACCTGCGCGGCCCCCGGCGGTGCTGGTGCAGTACTGCCAGCGCTCACCGCCGGCGGCGGCGGCGGCGGCAGCTCTTCCACCGCCGCCGGTTCACTCACCGTCGGGACGCCCTTGAACGCCGCCAGCGGGATGGCGACGTTCAGCTTTAGCGGCATCCCGACGTTCCGCTGCGCCGCTCGCGCCGCCGCCGCCATTGCCAATTGATCCACCTTGCCTCCTCCGCCACCGGCGCCGCCGCCGCGCCGGCTACCCCCGAACAGCCCTCCTCCGCCGGCGCCGCGCTTCTGCTGGTGCCGCCCGTCCGCCGGTTGGTCAGGTTCCCTGGCCAGGATGAACTCGCGTCCCTCCTCGTTCATGAGCTTACGAACCTGCGGTTCACCCAAGAAGCAGTTGGCGGCCGTTGGGGGCCGTTGGATGGAGTTGGGGGCAGTTGGGGGTTGTGGCGTTTAGCCAGGGAATGGAGCCGCGGTTCAGTGACGTCAAAGTACGGCGATAGTTCCCAACTCGGGCCCCCTCCTCCACCCCCACCTCACCCCCCTCCTCAAACCCCACCTCACCCCCCCGTACACATCCCCCCCCACCGCACCCCCCCGTACACATCTCCCCCCACCTCACCCCCCCACACACATCCCCCCCCACCTGCACCCCCTCTGTGCCCTGTCCCCCTCCCCCTCCGAGGTTCTGTTTGTACGCCTCCAGCTGCTGTCTGAAGGCACTGGCGCGCAGGTAGGTGCACATCTGCACCTCGCAAAAGCTCTCAGGACGGACACGGGCAGCAACCTGGAACTTCTCACGGTTAGCTTCGGTTGGTGGAGAAGACGTTGACAGTTGTTAGTAAGGAGTCGTCATCACCATTGTTGTCGTCGCCGTCGCCGTCGTCACCATCGTTGTGGTGGCGGTGTCGGTGTTGTTGGTGAGGGTGAGGGTGAGGGTGGTGAGGGTGTTGGTGTTGTTGGTGAGGGTGAGGGTGAGGGTGGTGAGGATCATTGCCATGGTGGTGGTGGTGGTGGTGGGTATGATGAAGGTCCAAGTCCAAGAAGGGGCACCCAAAGGTAAGTTTTGGTAAGTTTTACAACAACCCAACCGCTCATCCGCAATTCAACCCCCACCCGCACCCCCACCCGCACCCCCACCCGCACCACAAGCCGCCCAACCTCCGCCCCACCCGCCCCACCTGCCATCTGGGCGTCCCGCATCTTCTCCAGGATGTCCAGCTGCAGGGAGGTGGGCAGTGTGGACAGCACCGCGGGGTCCAGGGTGCTCAGGTCCTCGGGGAGGGCCATCATGCAGTCGAGAAGATCTGCTGCTGCTGCATCATCGTCATCGTCATCATCGCCGTCATCGTTGCCGCCGTCCGCAGCAGCAGGGTCGGGGATGGCGGGCCCCCTGGTGGTGGTGGCGGTGGTGGTGGTGATGGCAGCGGCGGCGCGGTTGCCACGCGTCGGCTGGTGGCTGTGGGGTTGACGATAGCCATTGGCTGGTTGGTGTGGGGGCCGGGGGGAGGGGACGGGGTAGGGGGTGGGTCTAGGTAGGGGCCGTGGAGGAGTTCGGCGTGGTGAAGGTCGGGGCAGCGATCGGTCAACTTTGGGTTCTGTCCGACAAAGCTGGCGGGCGGATACGTAGGACAAGGACTTCCCCTCAATGCCCCCGTTCCTCCCTCTATCGTCAGTAGCTCGTCTTGCCCCCCCCTTTTGCTCCCGTCAAACCCCCAAGATTCCCTTTCACCGCGGCGCTGATGCTTCCCAAACTGGGGAATTTCACAACGACACACAGAACCTGTGTAATCCATCCGTACCGTTCGGGTCATACGTCATGCCGGCAGTGGGATCCAACAGCTCCACATCCAGCTCCTCAACGCCCTCGTCTTCCGACAGAGCCGCCGCTATGGCCGCTGCATCCGCCTCCGAAACCACAGCCGCCGCCGCAGAAGCGTCGCCGCTGCCAGCCCAATCCTCCGCACTGCCGTAAGCGCCGCCGCCGCCGCTGCCGACACCGCGGTCGGCCACCGTCGCCGGGTGCGTCCTCCGCTGCCTCTGGTGTTGGGCCCCCTGGCGCTCTTCAGCTCCATTCCATTGTCTGTGAAGCTCCCGGGCCAGGGCTTCGTCTGCCGCCATCCGCTCCTCGTAATCCTCGTCCTCATCGCCATTGTCCCGGTCACTGTCACTTTCATCGTCAGCGCCGTCAGCGGCTGCTGCGGCGGGTGGCCGCGGACGCCCTTCCCGAGCAGCCCTGCGAGCTGAGTACAACCACACAGCATCACGCATCATCATCACGCAAACGCCGGCATGGGATATACCATTCCAATGCGCCACACGCGCCCACCACAGCCAGCGACCAGCCCAGCCGATATCATGAAGACGTTGGACCAGGGCCGGGGCCGGGAGAGAAGGAGGAAAAGCAGGGTAGGAGCAGAGGAGGCGTGGGTTCAGATGGCCGGGCGGAAGGGGAGCTGCGAGTGAGCCGGAAAGGAGCCCCGGCAGCAGCAGCAGCTCTGACTGCTACTGCTACCGCTGCTACTGCTACTGCGGGGCGTCCCCTCACCCAGCCAGAGGTATAGATCCCAGATCGGGTAGTGTACGGATGATTTCTCTGAACCCCTCTTTTCTCACCCAGCCATGCAGCTTCCTCTTCTCGGGTCATGGGCACCTTGCCAAGCTGCAGCCGCAGCATAACCGCCTCGTCCTCCACGTCAATCACGTCAACGCCGCCACTGCCGGGGCCGGCGCCGGCAGACGCAGGGGGACCTGCTCCGGAACCTGACGGCCCTGCGCCAGCACCGGAACCCGAGGGCACCCTTGAGCGTTTCCTGGGAATCTCTGGGACAGAGTTCGTGACAGCCGCAGGCCCCGGTCCGGCAGCAGCTGCCTTCCCAGGCGCGCTACTGGCGGGCCCCGCTGCCGCCGCTGCTGGGCCCCCCCCCGCTGCTGCTGCTGCTGCTGCTCCGCCAGGCGCTGCCGGTGCTACTGCCGGTCCGCCGGGCGGCTTACCCCCCGGGGGCCCCTTCTCTGCCCTGCCTTGCCCCTGCCGTCCTGCCCGCTGCAACTGCTGCGCTTGGGCTGCGTGTAGAGCCTGTGGAGGGATGGGGAGTGGAAGATGGCCAGTGGTTTTGCACTTTGGCGGCTGGAGGAGGCGCGGGGCTCTAAAACAAAGAGCAGATGCTTCCAAGCAGCTCCCAATACCAGCAGGGTGGAGCCTGAAACGTCCTTGGACAGCCGCTGATCTCTGTGCATGTGTATGTGTATGTGTGTGTCAACTCCGCAAGTCTCTCCCCCCCCTATTGGGTTGTGCCACTCATCGATCGTACACACACGCGTGCGCCATGCCGTGCTAAGTGCATGGCCATCCTGTTGACGCGGTGTACCCTGCACCTGGCCTAGCTTTCCCAAACTGTGTGTCTGTATGTCGGCCGGCCCCTGCCCAAAGGCCAGCCAGTGGGCTGCCGGACCTGTTTTTTGAGCTGAGCGATGAGCAGCTTCTCGGCTGTTTTACGCAGCACGCCCTGCTGAGCCTCGCGGCGCCGACGGCGGGCGATGTTGGTGTGGCGCTTGAGGGCGGGAGTGGCGCCGTCGAACACGAATACCGGACGCACTCTGTGGAAGAGCAGTCTGAGGCGGAGGCCGCGTGTCAGCAGGGGAGGAAAGGGGGATGAGGGGAGTTGGGCGAGTTGGGGAGAAGGGTTAGGAAAGAGAAAGTGGGTCTTGGAGATTGCGGCGGCGGCTGGATCGGGGCGATAAGGGAAAGGAGGAGGGATCGGAGCGGGTTGTGTGGACTTGGGGGAATTCGGCGCAGCCCGTTCGGCAAGCTCTGTGGGGAGCTTGCCGGGGAAGGACGATGGGGAAGGGCGATGGAGAACTGGGTGGATGGATACGCGAATGGACGGGAGTATGGACTTGATATTGGACGTGAGCTGGGATTGTGTGTCCCAGGGGTTTAAATGCCTCATCCCGTCAGCGTGGCTGTGGAAGACGTCACAATGGTGGACAGCGGGATCCGTACAGCGCCAACCTGCATATGCGGCGGAAGAAGCCCAGCAGGTGTGCGTTCCGCATCATGTCGCCCTTCTCGTCCCGCATGGCCTTCATGAACTGGAAGAGCCAGATCGATGCATCTGCAAAGGGTGCGATGTGGCGAGGACCTGTTCCGATGGCGCGAGAGCTTTACGGAAGCATTATCCGATTGACAGGTACGGCCAAACATAAGTTTGATAGCCATTTTTATATACCGAGTGCGAAGCATCTGTTGGGACAGCGCTCACGGTGTCCAAACAGTGGGCTGTCAAGATGCACGGCTAGGTTTTGATGCCACCTTAAATGGTCACTTTGCAGCTCGTGGGGAAGCTCGTTCAAAGTGCTTACCTACGGCAAGCTTTTTGTTTGCAATCGCCTCGATATTTACACGCCGGCCCACTGGCTCCAGCAAGTTCCACAGACCTTTTACACCCATTTCTCATGCACGTATTCAGCTTTAACTTCAGCATTAGACGTCCAAACGTTGCTGGGTATGGTCCTGCCAAGTGCACTGTCGGGCCAACCTACAGGCCACTGACCTTTACAGGCCACCAAAATTTGTCCTTTAACCTACGTCCGAGTTCGAACTACGCCATTTGGGTTGCTTGTGTTGCAGTATGGGCAAGAGTGCAAACACTAAAAGCATTCTGGCGAGCGTGCTGAGCTGCTGAGCGCGCTTCGATAGTACGTTTTTTGATTACAAAACGTGCGGCTCATAGCAGTCGCATTGAAGGTACCGCGCGCGCGCGCGCTCAAAGGTCACGAGTAAAACACCCATATAATCCCTCCAACAGCAACCACCTAGTCCAAGCGTTGATTCGCTGCCCCTTCTTCAGTGACATGCAGGTGACCACTTCGTACCAGCTGATAATTGCGACCCCATCCGCACCAGAACCCAATCAGCTCAAAGGCTCTCCACTAGTAGGGCCTTGTCACCTCTTATAGCTCACAACGTAGCCGCCCAGCAGCACAAGTCCCCAATCGTTTAGGGGCTGTCAAGTCTACAGTCGAAAGCGTTCACCAGTGCACGTCACGTTGCCCTACCATGCCATGGACCAACTCCAGGCCCCAGAGCTTGCGCAGCTGACAGCCGACCAAGGAAAACACGATCGCGCTTGCTCGCTCGCACATTCGCTCGCTCAGTAGCTGCGGCCCCACAATGCCCAGTTCTTGGCGGGCTTGCCGCTGTAGAAGCACTTGGTGCCCTCCGGCAGCGGGGGCGCCTCGAATGGCAGGCACAGGGTCTTGGCGCCCATCGCGTCCGGCGTGGTGCTCTTCTTCTTCACCTCCTCCTCAATCTCCTCCTCGTCAGCCCTGCGATAAGGCAAACCCACCAGCGCATTACACCTTAGGGACATTCATCCAAACCTTCCCAAGCACACCCACGCTTTCCTACATTCGAACCCTTCCCAAGCACACCCACCAAAACCCAACCTTTTTTAACAATTGTCCCTGGTGGCTTCCTCGTACACCACGCGATTGCGCTCCGTCTTAACGCAAAAACACGTCTGCTACGAATTCACGGAAAGATCAGGGCTAGAACGCGCCAGTCCGCCATGTCCATTACCACCTCCGTCCGGCAGGCGCTGCGCTCTTCCCTTTCATATAGAAGCCCCGCACTCCCCACGCGACCCGCACCCCTACCCACCAGGGCGTCAGCGCCATGTGCTTGTTGTTGAGCGCTGTCATGAACTCCTCAAAGCTGTGGCACACCTCAGTGCAGTTGGCGGTGCGCGCCTTGGCCGCGGCAAACATGTCGGCCTGGATCGTCTCCAGAAGCGCCGGCACGCGGGCGGCAACGTCAGTCCACGGCACTGCCTCCTTGGCACCTACACCCAGCGGCAAGGGGTAAGCGTACGCAGCGGTGAGAACATAAGCGCCAGATGAAAGCGAGGAACGAGCCCTTGCTGCAAGCACTCGGCGGTGATACAGTCGCTAGCCGGCCTCACCCGTGTCGCGGCGCGCCAGCACCACCACGCTGTTCTCCATGTCCTTAGGCCCCAGCTCCATGCGCAGCGGCAGGCCCTTGAGCTCCCAGTGGTTGTACTTCCAGCCAGGGGTGTAATTGACGCGCGTGTCCGTTACCACACGCACGCCAGCCTTCTCCAGGGCCTCCGCCAGCTCCGTAACCTGGGGGCAGGTAAGCAGGGTCCGTGAGAGGAGGGCGTGAGGAAGAGGCACCCAGATGAGGGGCGAAATGGAAGCCCAACCTGGCGTCCTGGACGACGGGGGTGATACCAGTCGCACCATGCAACCTGAGAAGGGGTAACCCCCTTAAGAAGGGTCACCTCTTGGTGCAAGGCATTGCTCTACTATGGGCCCTAGCCGGCTGCTCAAGGATGTTCGCCCCGGGAGTGACAGCAGGGGCCAGGGTGCAGCGCAAGGAGCCATACATGTACCGCCAAGCCGGGTACGACGCACACGAGGACAGCGCCACCTCGGTGCGGCGATTGTAAGACAGCCCCACCTTCTCCATCATGGCCTGCACCGTCTCCGGCGTTGTCGAGGCCTTGGGAATGGGGATGATGACTACCTGGTAGTGAGAATGGGAACGACCAGGGTGGGTTTCAAACTGGTGAGTAACGAACCGCATGCGGCAGGCTGCCATAATCCCCACCGCCCCCAGCAATGTCCGCCATGGCAGCCAATACCTTCAATTCCACTACACAGACCGACGCATACAAGCCGAGCTTCTGAACTCCACGTAATCACATGTGCCCCAAGGACATGGACGTGGTCAGCCATACTAACGGTCGACCATCCAAGCAGGCTGCAACCAGCTAATGCAAGGATCCCTTACAATATAGTGGCCTTCCATAATCAACCCTGACCCATGTACCTGCTTGGGCGCCACGCGGGGCGGCAACACCAGGCCCTTGTCATCCGCATGCGTCATGATCATGACACCTAACGAACGGGTGGTAAGGCCCCAGCTGTTCTGCCACACGTACTGCTTCTGGCGGTCATCATCCTCGAACTGGATGCCGAACATCTTGGAGAAGTTCTGGCCCAGGCAGTGACTAGTGGCGCCCTGCAGCCGGCCATGCCAGCAAAACAAGCCGCACAGGAAATGTGTTTAGCTGCGGATGCCAGGGGTTTAGGGAGATCCAGGGCCTGACCGCGGTCGTACCCAGTGATCAAATAAACCAGCCCAAGTGGCAGTGGCAGCTCCCCGCTGTTGGCAGCAGCTGCAAGAAAATTTCCCTGAACGCTAACAAGCACACACATTTTCTTCGAAAGCCAATCACCTAATCAGTATGCCTTGCATAGAGGACTTCCTGTCCGCCCCTGAACCAAGGCCCCTTCGCCACCAAGTTGCCCCCGCGGCGCCCACCTGGATGCCGCGTCCAGTTTCGGGGATGTAGGCCTCCACAGTGGTGGTGTAGAAGGCGCCAGCGAACTGCTCCTTCTTGGACTTCTTGCCCTTGGTCACCGGCACCGCCAGCATGTCCTCGTACACTCCCCTGTGAGCGCAGGGCAGAGCAGACCGAAGTGGACCGGAGCGCAACAGAGGTAAGGTTCAGGAGTGCGAGATACATCTGGAGAATAAGGGCGGAGGGAGGTCGTGGAGGGGACTGTCTGCCGATTAGATCACCTGTCGGGCTTAGCTTTCTCATGGGTGCCAAACGGATAATATGCTGTTAAGCCTCGACCAGTACCGGCGTTTCCTTATTATATAGTTTGCTTGTATAGCTTCCTTATATATGGTTAAGCGCCCGTATCCCAGTGACCAGTCCCCGATCCCTACCTTCATGCCTCTAGTACTGAGTGAGGCACTACCCTCTGCCTAACACCCCGCGTTGCCCGTTGCCCCTGGCCTCTGGCCCCAGGTTTGGCCCCGCCCACACCCATCTACCAAGTAGAGCTCCCCGAGTCACAGTACTCTTTCCACATTTCCTCTTCTCTCCTTACCGACCTACCATTCCCGCTTAGCCAATCAAAACCGCTAGGGCACCCTCCAACCTACCAACACCCATCTATACCATCCATACATCTAATCAACGACGGTCCTATTCACCTCGTTTTTTCTGCACCCACCTGTACAGCTCCAGGATGTCCAGCACCTCGCGCGCTGCCTCCTCCTGGGTGGCGAAGGCGGTATGCCCCTCCTGCCAGAGGAACTCGCGGCTGCGGATGAAGGGCGTCGGGTACTTGAACTCCCAGCGCACCACGTTCGTCCACTGGTTGAGGCGCAGGGGCAGGTCGCGGTGGCTGCGGATCCATTGAGCAAAGTACGGGTACATCACCTGCGTCCAGAAAACAGCGATGGAGGAAACGACGAGTTGAGAGCACATAAAACCTAATGGTGAGAGTTCATCAACGTAACGTCGGGCATGAAGTGCAGAACGTGGAGAGGGCCAAGAGGCCAGGCGACTGATAGCAGCGATAGTTGGGCGGCGTTTTCAGGGCCCTGTGGTAGAAAGGTGCATACCCTGGCCCGCACAGTCCCCCCTGCCCTTCACCCGCCGCTGCTGCTCATTTGCCGCACCGTCTCGCTAGTGGGCCGGATGGCAATGGGCTTCTCCATAGTGCTGTTGCCGCACTTGGTCACCCAGGCCACCTCGGGAGCAAAGCCCTCGACGTGGTCCTTCTCCTTGTTGAGCACGTCCTCCGTGATGAACAGAGGGAAGTACGAATTCTGCACGCCCAGCTGCTTGATGCGCTTGTCAAACCTGGATGTAGGTTGGGTTGTTTCCGCGGTGGTCACGCCACCATTGTGTGGCGGTCAATGAAGCGTGGTTAGGAAGAGATACGAGGAACAGTTGGAAAACATATATAGCGGCAGCGGTGGGACACATGCAGGCATGGGGATTGCCGTCAGTTGCGGGGCATCGAAGCGTTGCGACATGGACAACCCTAATAGCCCCGGCCCCCATGCCGCACAGCGACGAGCAGAGTTCTCCAAGGTCCTGCGGGGCCTTCCCTGCAGCCGAACGAAAAAGTCGACATGCATAACAGCAATTGCCCTCCGAGTTCAATGTTTCTACGGGATGATACTTGGCCAGCCCATTACAGTTCAATCCTCTTTTAATTATCTGAAGTCAACATTCGCTCACCAGCCTTGCACCATCTCCCACATGGCGTAGGCCCACGGCCGCAGGATGTAGCAACCCGACACCTCATAGTAGCTGATCAGCTCCGAAGCCACCACCAGCTCACTGTACCACTCGCCAAAGTTGTCCTTCTTGCTGTTTTTAAGGCCGAGCCCCTTAGCGTCACCGCCGCCGGCCGCTGCCTTCTTGCCTGCGGTTTCCAAAATTGGAGTAAGTATTCGTAGCCGTCGATATCGAGGCGCGCATTGGTACCATCGGTGCGCTAAACACACAAGGAACCGACTAGGACACGGCCGAGTTTATACGGTATAGATTCCAACACGATGCGATGTGGGTCCAACGTAAGTGGTTTTCTACGGTGGGATGGGCATTTGCATTCACCTTACACGTGGGTCTTTAAGCGCGTAGCCACATGATTGCGTGTTACACGGTCCCCGCAAGCGCAAGCCCCAAAACCATCCATTACTGATTAAAGAAACCCAGGTATTGCAGCATTCACGACAACCGCCAACCACACCACGGAAGTCAATCTTCGGCTACCTGTTACGATGCCAAACTGACCTGACTGTGCTGCTCCCACAAACACCTAATAAACACCTTTGCCAGGGCGCACCCCCGCTTACCATCTCCCTGCTCTTGCTTGGGCTCCTTCTTAGGCTTCTCCTTCTTCTCCTTGGGAGCCTTCTCCTTCTTCTCCTTGGGAGCCCCGGCCGCGGGGGCGGCATCAGCAGCAGGGGTGGGCTCCGCAGCTGGCTCCGCAGCTGGCGTGGGCTCCGCCGCCGGAACGGTCTCTTCCGTGCTGGCCTAAAAGTTTGCATATGCAGTTCTTGATCATGTAAGGTTTTCACAGAAAATTGGGGATTTACGAAAGCCGAAGCACAACGGTGGAAGTGCACTAACACCACAGTGCTCATCTCCTACTCCTATTAGACACCAGATCTGCTCCAAACTATTAAAGCTATGAGAATAGATTTGATCACGCACCATCGTGTAACGTTGCTGTAGCTCCGTAAGGGTAACAGGCAGGCCTATGCAACGAAAGCTCTTAAGCTCAAAGCTGTTGTTGAAGGCGAAACCTAGACAATGAAAAGGGGCTGTGGAAGGGTAGGCCCCTAAAAACCTCTTGGAACCAAGCAGGCAAAGGCGTGTCAGCATACACAGCGATCAGTCGCTGTGTTGGTAGGATACTACGCGTCCTACCCTGACAAAATATGTGAGAATGCCACGTATTGTGTCATCTAAAAAGTATGACTTTTAGAGCCGATCGTGCAACGAGAACGGCGAACGGAATGGGGGCGGCGACCATGCGATCGGGGGCACCCAACTACCCATAACCATGCGTTGAATTAGCTGGCTTTAGCCCACATAAGTCGAATTTTACCCGATCTTGCTTCCGCGCCGCATCAACGGTTGAAAAGTTTCACACTTGATAATAAGCGCGGTGCCTGAGGCCGACGCTAGCCACGTTAAATCTCGAAATGCAAACCCTTTTAGGTAAAAAGGCCGGACGGCCATTTACTGCACAGCGCTGCCTGCCGACGCTGCCTTGCACTGCACATCGGTCACAACCCTCGCGCGCTGCCTCAGCTTGCTGCCAGGCGAAGATGCAGATGCGAGAGGTCAGCCATATCGCAATCCACGCAGATATGACTTGCCCACAGCTGACTCCCACCAACATCGGTCGCGAGCTGCAGGTAATTGAGAAGCTCATTCGCCGTGAGGATCTTACCAAGGAGCTGGCGGAGGAGACTCTTGGGGTGAGAGCTGCGGAGTGTTACGACCTCGCCAACTGCCTGACCTAATCCGCTGCCTTCTCTTTTACCACCACCCCTTCTCCCTTACCGCCACTTGCACCCATACACGCACACCGCAGGCCCTTTTGGACGATTTTGTTTCAGAGCAGGCGGCAGCGTTCCTGGTGCTGCTGCGAGCCAAGGTACGTGACCCCGATCGCGGGGTGCCCGTCATGGGTGTGTGTGTAAAACGAGTAAAGAAAGCCGCCGGTCGGCCTCTTGATGGGTGGGCGCCTCACGGGTTAGCCATCTTGGAAATTACAGCCCACCAGAACACAGACTCGGACACAAGAGCAGTGAGATGTGACCCGCAGTCTCCCGGTCGGAGGGCGTGGGGGGAGGGGCCCAGCTCCGAGGTGAAGGAACTCCATTGCCTTTCGGCGTATTGAATAGCCCCCAGCTGATCCGCGCATGACCCGCGGGTCAGTAACTGCTGGGTGGTTTCTATTGGGTTATGTGGGCGGGGAGCTCAGGTGGGCGGCCGGTTGGGAAGTGTACACACAGATTCTTAACAAGGAGGCCAGGTCAGAGCGGGCGCTGGACTGCGCGTCTAGAGGGAGAACCGGAGAACCCGGCCTTCTTGCCTTGTCCGAGTCCGTGGGGAAGTCCGTCGAGGAAAGAGAGGTCCGGGGTCGGTTGGGAAGTGTTCGAAGGGCACGTATATTACTGGCGGTGCGGGCCAGTCTTCGGACAGTTGGCCATCTGGTAGAGGGGGGAGGGTGATTCGTCCATGGGAAGGAGGGGAGGGGGCTCTCGCTGGGTTCTCGAAGCTACCAGCTGCGAAGGAGCACTTCAGCAGGACTTATTTCATGCGGGCTGACAATGGTGCCCGACCCACCCGACCCACATCACGCCTACGTTTTATACCCCCAATTCACCACACGCCTTCATGGCTTTTGATCTGCATTGCACTGCACGTCGCTCGGAGGAGCCGATGGGGAGGTTGCTACCAGTGCTGGTCCTATTACACTGCCCCTCTTCGCACCCCCTCACATTCCCCTCGGGCTCTCCTCCTCTTCCGGGTGATTCTATTCCACCCCCACCACCCGGGCCCCGCCTGGCCCGGTCGGCTGGGACATCATCGATTGATTCGTTGTTTCCTGTGTACGACTCTCCGGCGCACCCCGGCGGCCGTCCCCGTGCCTGTGTGTGTGTGTGTGTGTGTTTTCCCAACCCCAGGGTGAGACCTCAGACGAGATTGCGGGTCTGGCTCAAGCTATGCTGGCCAAGGCCCTGCCCGTACACACCTCCCAACAAGGCAAGTCGTCGAGAGGAAACCGGGTTGGGGTGCAGGAGAGGGGAAGGAGCGAGGGGGGGAAGTTCGGGGGCAAGCCGGGAAAGGGGTGTGTGGTCTCGCACCGGCTGGGGACAGCGAGCGGGAAAGGAGGGAAGGGACGATGGTGGGACGTGGGACGACATTGAAGTCACGACGACATGACTTGTAAGTAGTGCCAGTGTAAGGACCTGGCGCGGTTTGGAGGAGGAGGTACTGGTGGGTGCATGTAGCCCTTGGGCCCCTCGGTCTCCGGATCTGTGGGATTCGGGAGGCGACCCAACACGACGTGCGACACGCAACCCCGCGACCTGGCACTTCTAAACTGGCACGAAACCCTGCCGGTACCCCCGGGACACTCCCCTCCCTGACACCCGCTGGTCATGGCTGTTTTTGCCTCGGTGCGTTTGCAGCCTTTCCCCTTCCCTCCAAAGCAGCTACAGCAGCAGCAGATGATGATGATGATGGCGATGATTTTGGCGACGTATGATGATGACTCCGTCAACGTTTGTGACACCTATGTTTAGTTTTTATGTGTATATAAACTAAACGTGTGTTCCTTTTTTGGTATTGCCACTGCTGCTTTTGCTGCTTTTGTTAAATGTTATGGCGTTGTTGTTGTTGTTGTTGTTGTTATCCTCGGACTGCGCGCAGTTGTCGACATTGTGGGCACCGGCGGTGACGGTATCGGCTCCGTCAACATCTCCACCGGGGCCTCCATTCTGGCGGCTGCAGCGGGGGCGCGGGTGGCCAAACACGGCAACCGATCCGTTTCGAGTCTGTGTGGAAGTGCGGATGTGCTGGAGGTGAGGGAAGGGACAGGGAAGGGACAGGGACAGGGGTGGGTGTGGGTGTGGGTGGGTGTAGCAGGGGAGGATATGGAGGGGGCAAGGGGCTGTGGCTACGGTGTCGAGGAGACCCTTAATTCTCGACATGCACGCATACACACATTTAGGTGCCCGGGGTTTTCCCTTTTCTCTCATCCATCTCTCATCTCCCCACGCCACTCACACACACACACACACACGCGCGCGCGCGCGCGGAGAGTTGATGTCTTTTGGACCGGGTTCCTCTCGCCGGTTTTCGTCATCCCGTGCGTGGATATACGTGTTGTGGTCTTTCGAAGGGTTTCCTTACCCTCCCCCCCAATATGGTCGCTCCCTACCTGCATCATCCCTACCCGCGTCTTTGCACATAAGTGCGTGTTTTACACCGGGGGCCCACCCCCTCCCCCTCCCCCTCCCAATCCCAATCGGGATTCGTCTCCCCTCCCCCATCCCCAAATCCGTTTCCGGAACGCTCGCTGCTTCTCCTTCTGAACCCTAGTACAACGCTTCTTGCCCTGTGCTGTGTGTGTGTGTGTGTGTGTGTGTGTGTGTGTGTGCGGGGCCCCCGCCGGTCAGGCACTGGGTGTGGCGATTGACCTGGGTCCCGCGGGCGTGTCTCGCTGCCTGGACGAGGCGGGTATCGCCTTCATGTTCGCCAACCGCTACCACCCGGCCATGAGGGCGGTGAGGCCCGTGAGGTCGGCGCTGAAGGTGAGGGGGGTGTACGCATGGGGGCAGGGACAGGGGGAAACTCATGCAAGGAGGGACAGACACGTGGGAAAAGCAAAGGAAGAAGAAAAGCCGCGGACTGTATACACGTGTGTGTATGTGTGTATGTATGTGTGTATCTGAGTAATTTTTGTGTTTGGTGTGATGAACTGCGAGCCTCGAGTTGAAAGTGGCCCACGCGCGTCGTCGGTGTGATTTGAACTTAGAGCTGGAGCTCCGAGAAGTACATAATCTCATAAGGGTGGAAGAAGGAAGTCACACACACATACATACACATACACACACATGTGCAGAAGACGTTGCCGGGGGCATTGTAGTAGTATTGGTCCCGTAACGCTGTGGTAGAAATAGCTGAATCCGCGGTGCGATTTGTTCTTCGCATCTTGGATTTCCTTTCCGCACCGAGCGGGGTGATCTGGGCTGAGCTCACCCGTTCCCCCACCCCCGCTGTCCCGCTCCGTCGCCCCCGCAGGTGCGTACGGCACTCAACATGTTGGGCCCGCTGCTCAACCCCGCGCACGCCGCGTACGGCCTGGTGGGCGTGTACGACACGTCGATTTCGGAGCTCATGGCGGGCTCACTGCTGGTGGGTAGCAGATTACAGTGAACTGCTGTGTCACGCCGTTTGTGTGTGTATGTATGTATGGATAGATGGATGGATGGATAGATGTATGTATGCATGTATGTGTGTATATGTGTTAGGAAGGGACTCACGATGTCGTGGCGCAGCTCAAGAAGGTCACTTGTGTCCATGTGTGTGTGTATGTATGTACGTGTGAGGTGGGAGCTTTCGTTGGCGGGCTCTGCCGTTCCGTTCATGGTAAGTGCATGTGGACGTGGACGTGGACGTGGACGTGTATATGGGCCCCACGAGATGCACCGGTTTCTGTCTGTTGCCGTCCCCTCCCTCCCTCCCACCCCCGCCACAACACCGTCCCCGCGCCACCCCCCCCCCGCTTTCCCCCACCCCCCTTTCTCCCCCCCCAAACCCCCTCCCGTCGTTCGCACCGCAGCGCATGGGTGTACGTAAGGCCCTCGTGGTTCACTCCATGGGATTGGACGAGCTGACCCCCATGGGCCCTGCGGACGTGGTGGAGGTGGCGGCGGGGGAGCCCCTCAGGCGCTACAGCCTGGACCCCCGGGATGTGGGCATCCCCCGCTGCGAAGTGGAGGACCTCAAGGGCGGGGACGCGGCGCTGAACGCGGCCATTCTGAGGGACGTGCTGGCTGGGCAGCGAGGTGGGTGGTGGACCATGGTGGTGGTGGTGGACCATGGTGGTGGTGGTGGTGCTTTTCGTGCAGGTACAACGGACCTTGTCTGTGTCTTATCTTATTTGCAAGAGCTGCATGAAGGGAAACGTCTGGCGGGGTGGGGTTGAGCAGGAGGTGATTTGGATGTGAATGGGGTGGGATTTGGGAGAAGTGTGAGGACCGTCATCCACGGAGGTGTGATGTTTTCTGGTGGTGGCCGTGGTGGACGGGAAATGTGGGGAATGGAAGGAGACGACAGCCATGTGACACCCCCCCCTTCTTCCTTCCCTCCTGCCCTCAGTGCGATAGTGCTGCTCCCTCCGGTTTGCCGCCCTGCCGTGTACTAAGCCCCAACCCCCCGCCTTACCTCTCGGACTTTGGACGCCGTCGGGCAGTTCATTTTTTCGATTTCCTTGCATAATGATATATGACGATAGCCCCACTTAGGGTTAGCCCGTCCCGGCTCCGCCCGGATTCCGTTGGTCCCGTTGGCTCTCTCGCAGGTCCTGTCGCGGATGCGTTGGTCCTCAACGCGGGCTACGCGCTGGCCGCCGCCCAGGTGGCCGCCAGCCCCGCGGAGGGAGTGGCGCTGGCTCAGGAGGTGCAGCGGCGGGGGGACGCCGTCAGGGTGTTGGACCGCTGGGCGGCGGTCAGTCAGCAGTGCGCGGCGCAGGAGGCCAGGGAGGGCGCGGGGACGGCGGCGACGGTGCCGGCGTGATTGAAGCGTGGCAGTGCTACGAGCGGCGGGGGTGATGACGAAAAGGGGGGGGGGAGTGGGCCATGGGCCGTGGTGGGCTGTTTCTATGGTCGGACTGGCGAGCCGAGTGCTGAGCAGCGGCCGAGCCTGGGAGAGCGGGTCCGGGGGGGGCTAACCCATGGGGGTGGAACCCATCAGCGATTCGATGGGCGGTTTATCCCTGTACGGACCACACGTGTGTGTATGTCCATGTGCAGGTGGGTGTATGTATGTATGTATGTGCCCACGCCCTAAGAATTCTCGGACCGCGGGTGGTGGTGGTGGTGGGTGTCGCAGGTGGTGAGGCGTCAAAGAAGAGAACTAATGGAGCGTGTTTGGGTGCGGCGGAGGGTGTTTCGTCTCGCTGTGCCTCAGCCGGCCGGCGGATGAGCGGTGGTGGTGTACAGCAACACCCCCATATGGTTGTGAGGTTGGCGCTTGGTGTAATCATACAAACCAAATGAGCGATGTGAATTTGAAAGAAGTAGGAGCAGAGTAGGAGGGGTGACTTTAGCGCATCACGCCAGTGCGGCTGGATGCTGCGGCTGTTTATAGCCCCCTCTGTTTGGGCGCAGGACAGGATTTTTGTAGGCTATTAATGGATCTGTACCGTGTGCTTTAAGCTGTACTCATTGTTCTGATACCCATCTCTCTGTTCTCCTGCTAGCTCCTTCCATGGCAACTGAATATTTCTTGCGAACACACAGACAGATTCACAGACAGACAGACACAGACACTTTGTCGCGTCATATGTCACTGTCGCCTCGAAAGAACATGTGCGTACGAGAGGCTCGTGATCCCAGCTGGCAACACACGGAGCAGGGCCGTGTCACACTGCGTGGAGCAGCACCGGCCGATGGCCCCCCGGGGACATCACATCCAGCCTGCACGGAAAAAAACGCTTTTGTTCGCGTTCCGAGTCGTGCTGGGCGACCGGCGACCTGACGCGCTGGTGATGCTTCAGTGTGGGGGCTGCCCTAACCACGGTAGCGCCTCGGTAGCGTCGTCGTGCTCCTCGAACAACGCGCTATCAACACGCCCGCCGCATGCTTCCGAATGTCCTCTGGCATCGCAAAGGCGCAGTAAACGCGCACGTCACACCGTTCGTGAGCTTTGGTGAGGGCCAAATTCCGGATAGCAGGCATCAGTGTCTACGGGGCTACGCTAGGAGATTGGAAGACAAACGTTCTGGTCTGCGGTTTCTACTTTTACAGTCCCTCCTCGCTTCTTCGTCTGATTAAAGCACGTGCAGCACGATAACCACGAACGGTATGGTAGACGCTCCCTCATCCGGTTGTTCGCACCACTCTTGCAACCGCGTTTTGTAATGTACGTGTAGGTGTGTGTAGGTGTGTATTACACCTCGGTTGCGTTGATTACCCAGATAGAGAGAGGTGTAACGAGGAGTACCCACACACGGGCCAGCAGAGGTCCAAGAGCCCCCCGAGAGCCACAAGTTAGGCTAGGGTAGGAACAAGTAGTGGAAGGAGGACCTCGTAACGCGCACGGTAAGAAGCTAAATACAGCATGGCGTGTTCACACTGATAGCAACCCAATTATTATACCCCCGCGCGCCGTCCCCCATGCCGTACATGCGGCTTCACGTGCGCGGCTGGAGGAGATGGAGGCGCTGTAGAGCTAGTACCGCAGCTCCTCCCCACCCCTTTTACCGCCGACCCCGCCGACCCCGCCACCACCATTTTACAGCTGCTTCTTCCGCTGACCCTACACCACGAAACGCGCGGAAAACCCTTTGCCACACCGTCCCCCGCTGGGCGCCACGCCACGTCATGGTCATCGGAATCTCCGGTGACCCCGGAATCTCCCGGATCTTGCAGCGCAACGGAAGGCGCTGTTATTGAGGCATATGCAAGGGAGGAGGAGCGGCCGACAAGCAGCCATTTCTTACTGACGAAGCGCCGGGGACGGTTCCTCCGCCACTTCCAGCCCCGCGCCGTCAGCGCCCTCCTTCTCCTCCTCCTCCTCCTCCTCCTCCCCCTCGACGACCTTCGCCATCGCCGCCTTGCCCAGCTCTGGTCGGCGGATGAAGTAGGCCAGGAACTCCGTATTGCCGCTCTTGTCGCCCTTGATGGGGGACTCTGTGGTGCCCACCAGCTCGTAGCCGTGCGCCTGGATGCCCCCGGTGACGCGCTCTAAAACCTCCGCGTGCACCTGCAGCAGCGGTAGCAGCAGCGGTAGCAGCAAGGGTAGCAATAGCAACAGTTATAATTGGCGGCCACCGAATGTGCCGAATCGTGTATAACTGGACCACAGCAATCCAACAGTAGAAAGCAGCAGCGGCTGCGAGGCCCGCAAGAGGGAAAAGAACACCGCCAGTACGACATGGAATGGGAGGCACGGGCGAAAGAGAGGGGCAGGTGCAACAACAAAACACATACACACACGCACACACATACGAGGATCCTGAAGAGGCAACAGCAGCAGGGCGGCGAGGCGACGATGGTAACGGCGGTGATTGACGAGGTTGCGGATGGGGTGCCGTCATCACCCCACCTGGGGATCCCGCACGATGCCGCCCGCGCGAACCTGCCGCCGACCGGCCTCGAACTGCGGTTTTATGAGCACCACCAGACGACCCCCGTCGGGGCGCAGCACGCTGGTGACCGCACCCACCACCAGCAGTACGGAAATGAAGGACAGATCCAGCGTGGCAATGTCTACCTGGAGAGGAGGGGGAGGGAAGGACGGGGGGGAGAGGGTTACGGGCCGTACACATTTTTTTACACTCTTACGACGCCGTGGGGATTGTGGACGGTCTGAGTTAGCGCAGGCCGGCCGGTGAAGGGCGTGAAGGGAAAGGACCAGCTACCAGGATTATGAGTGGGCCGTAAAACGTGTGTTTTTGCAAAAGTCCTGAAATTCCCAAAATATCATCCATCGTCATCATCATCATCATCATCATCGCCCGGCAGAACCTGATGTAAATGGGTAAACATCGTCTCGGCGCATGTGGCAAGTGGGGAGGTTAAGAAGGAGGGATACTTCCCCGATAAGGCGATCACTGCTTGCACACGTTGCTTAAATAGTCTTTCGCTCTCACTAAAGGGGAAGAAGACGTAACACCTTGGCAAAGACGGGCGAAGGCCAGCTGACAAGTAGCTCCACTTCACATTCCCTGAGCCCTCTGAGCCCAGCTTGGACATCTCCAAGCCGTTTCTCCACTCGCACTCAGGCGCCAAGCACGGTGTTCTTGCAAGTCCACAGGCCTGTCGTGCAATCATACGCAACACGCGCGTACATACATACGTATATACGTATGTAAGTACGTACGTATGACCTGTGGCAATTACCTTGCACGGCAGGTGCTGAGGCCGCAGATGACGTAGATTGAACTTCTCCATCACCACCACTCGCTCGTCCCGCCGAATCCTGTCGGCCAACTGATTGAAGCCAACGTCAATGCCGTACACCTGCCGTACAAACAGAACCTTTCTGTGGAAACCAGGTACCACTCTTATGAAAGTTGATCACCAGTCGCCCCCTGCCAATATGTCATGAGCCATAAAAGTATGCTGCTGTTGTTCGTCCTTTTGCAAGTGTGTGGGGTGTATCATCTGCGGCTTCCCTCCTTACTCTCCATCACTGCTCTCCCCCCACACACACCCTCAATCCCCCTATCCCTGTTTCCAAAATAACACCCCCCTTCCCTCAAGGCCCCCGGCCCCTCCGCCCCCACCTTCGCCGCCCCATTCCGCAGCAGGCAGTCCGTGAACCCCCCCGTGGACTGCCCCGAGTCGAGTGCGGTCAGGCCCCTAGTGACAAAGATGGGGGGCGGGGGGGCAGTCATATGCAAGGAATAACAAAGGGGGTTGTGCGACTGCAGAAGAGGGTGGGTTCGGGGAGGATGGTGCTCAGAAGAGTTGGGGGGTGCCCCAAGGGTTCGGGGGAAAAGGGGGGAAAGGGGGTATGCTGGAGCTGCCTGCCTGCCTGGCTGCCTGGCTGACTGACAGACTGACAGACTGGTTGACTGATTGAGAGGCGACCAATACTACGCTGGTTCCATTGCGAGGTTGAATGTGCGTGTGAATGTGATTGCGATTGTGATTATGATTGCGAGCGTGAGCGTGAGTGTGAGTGTGAGTGCGAGAGTGAGTGTGAGTGAGTGTGCGTGTGAATGTGAGAGGGTTTCGGAGTCCAGAGGTGAGGTGAGGTTGCATTGTGGTGGGATTGTTCCCTCCCCCCACACCCCCACACCCACATACGGGTGTACAGTGGATTAAGGCTACATGCCAGTTCGGGTCGGGCCAGGTGTGTGGGCGGGGGTTCCGGTTCGTACCTGACATCAATGCCCCAGAGCTCCAGAGCCTTCTCCAGTTTGAGGCCCGCACGACACACGTACTTGGGCTCCTCGGCGTCAATCACCACCTGCGGGCCGCCGGGCCCCAACAGCACCGGAGCACCGGCCTTGGTCACCACCTTGTCATCCACACGGACCTGGGAGGTCGAGGCCGAGGTTGAGGGCGGCGCGGAGGAGTTGGGAGTTGGGAGTTTAGCTATGCAGGCAGGTAGTGGTAGAGGGGGTTGCGAGCAATGGCCTACACAGTGCACAGGGCGAGGCGGCGGCGGCGGCCGCTGAAGCGTTTGTGCCCCGTTGTGCGTCCTGCAGCGCCGCGCTGCGCCGTACCATGTCCCCGAGATCCAAGCCAGTGCGCGCGCTGTCGTGGACGTTTGCCTACTTACACCCATTTGGGGCAGCATTGTGCGGCTCAGCAGGTGCATGACCTTGGGAACCCCAGGTAACCCCGTCCAGGGAGGGAAGAAGGTGATGTGTGATTTGGTGTGTTTTGGTGTGTTTTGGTGTGATTTGGTGTGCTAGGTGGCGGGGGGGGGTATTCGGGAAGGGGACCAGGGTACGCCGCGTAACCCAGGGGCCGTGGAACAAGTGCGCCGCAGTGGAATCAGCTACTTGAGGTTCGTTCGACCTCGTACAGTGAGGCGTGTGGGGGTGGTAGGGTAGCAGGTGAATGGCGGGGCGGGGGTTCGCAGTGCACCGCAGCACGTGGGTACGCAAAACCGCGTGGTGACCACAGAGGCAATCGATCCACATGCAGATGCAGTCCTGCTGGTTGACGTTTGACGTTGCCGTGACTGCCGGGCACACACACCTTGCCCTGCAGGATGAAGGACTGTATGACGTTGCGGCTGTACTGCGGAGCGAGCTGCAAGCAGTACTCGTCCAGTCGTATGCGTTGCTTCGGACCGTTTTTGTGCTTCTTGGCAGGGGCAGGGGTGGTGGCTGCGGCTGCGGCGGCTGATGCAGCCGCCGACAGCCCGAGGCCTGAGCGTGCACCGGACCGGCCGCCCTTATCATCGAATGCCGGGCGTTCTGTGCCTTGACTGTATAATTCATCGCTGGCGATAATTGGGGGGCTAGGCTCAGACGCGCGGCAGCGGTGCGTGGCACGGCGATGGCTGACTCCCCACGACACCGGACATCGAAGGCATAGAGGCCTCGCTGACGAAGGCCCCGCAAAGTTGCCAGCTAAGGAGCATTGAGAAGTTGTATAAATGGTGTCGAGGGTGAAGGTTACAAGTTGCTTTGCAAGGATGTTGGCTTGTGCCCGGAAAGCTTTCCAAGCTCGACAAGATCCGCGCTCCAAGCTTCCACCCGCAGGTATCATGCAAGGCAATCACTATGTTACGGTAAATTACTGCAAAGTCAAAGTCCCTCAGAAAACAAATGCCTTTGTAAATGTCTGGTAGGACCAGCGTTCGCCTACGTCCGCAACAATTAACTGCGTTGTGTAAATGTGAAGTATCTTGGCAAGATCGTCTGCATGTGCACAGTCTCAGCATGCAAGAACCAGCCAGAAGAACCGCCTTGCCAACCACTTCTCGTATCAGCCCTGCTGGCCCAAGCCTATGACGATAGATTCCTCCAGCTAATCACCTACCCCAAATAGAATGTTTGATGCTCCATAGGACCTTGACCATATGTGCACATCAAAGACTAATTGCCCAATGCATGGCGGCCCCTGGGTCAACCCCAGGCACCGTCCCTTACCCGAGTCCACCCCGACCGCAGGCCAGCAAAGGCCAATCTCCCTAGGTCTCACCACGCAACCATGATCCCTGACTAAAACTGAAGTTCAAACTGCAAGCCAGTACACAGTCACCAACACGATCATTGTGTTGTTCTCCCACTGCACCGTCAGCTTCCCATCCGTCTTTTCATTCCATCTCGCACAACTTGCAGCATGTAGCCCAGCCCCTGCTTTCTGCATGAGGTTGCATGTCAGGATATACTTGAAGGGCTTGTTCATAGCCGCGAGTCGTTTCAGACAGCCCTCGACAATGTTGTTACTCCACGAGTCAATTTTATTATGGGCGAATTGGTTGTCACCGATAGCTGCGTTTATCGACTCCCGCACCATAGTGTCCACCTCCGCGTCGTCCATCAAGTCATCCTCCGCAAGGCCATCAAAAGCAGCGTCGTCTTCCATTTTGTGCAAGCTTGTAAGGACAGTGCAAGGAGCTTCGGAAATGCCAGATGAATGAAAGTGTCGAAAGGAGAACCCTTAAATGAAGCTTATGTTGCGCTGTACCTTAAAAGAAGACTGAAGTTCACTTTGAAGACTTTCATTTTACTTGGCTTTTGGGTCTTTTAGGTCCAACGTCCTTAGAGTACGGCGGACCTTGTTCGTTCTCTGTCTTTGATCTTGCCGAAGCATCGCAATATGCTCATGTCATGTTTCAGCAAAGTGGATGTATAAATGCTAGCAATTTTTCAGCCACCGCTCGACATTGCTATGTGTAGTGGAGAAAGTACGGCGCTATAACCATGGCAGCCAAGACCCTCAAAGGCAGGTTCCCAAGCATCTGATGCCGGCATCCTAGGCATGTCTGCCAATGCTTTGAAAGCGCTGTATGACGGCGAACTTGGATCCGCCGGTAGTACCGGAGAACTTGGAGACCGTGGTCATGTGGCTCCAGGTAAGCAACATAGCGACAACGATGGAGGTGGTTTCAGTGGTTTCGTCAAGAGGTGGGTGCGCTTATGCGGCCATTGCCGTCCTAGACTCGGCAACCAGCACTAGCGGGGCAGCTATGGATGGATTGGAGGCTCCAGCAGCTGGCAAGACAGCACAAGGCAGCGTACCAAAGGCACCGTAAGCTCCTAGGCGATCACAGAGGGGGAGTCGACGGATTAACAGGAGTCCTGCGAGGAAACTCACTGATGCGACCACATCTTTGCGCACGTCATTGTCGAGCGGGAGGAAGTGCAGGCAGCACAAAGCCCTGTGGGATAAGCTGGTGTGAATATCGGATACGAGGATGAGCCTCCGTTGTCCCCCTATCCGAAAGTCAATACGTTGTAAGGCAGTTAAAGGCAGTTACAAAACTTTACCAACTGTTCTGTGGCCAACATGGCAGTTGGATATTTAGCCACTTGAGGTATGAAACACATTCAGCAACAGTTCGCGCTAATATGGCGAAAAAAATACGTGCTTATTCAAACAGGGAAACACAACCGAGTGTTTCTGTGGCTTCACGGCGGCGTGAGCGGTAGCAGCAGCAAGGGCCATGTGGGGCAATCGCGTGTCATCAGTGCGACACACAGGCCCATTGCCCACGGGCGCACGGTTCCCAATAGACCCAATACGCTGATCAAACCGACAAGTCGAAGCTACCTGTTAGTTGCCACTATGGTACAGACAAGTGATGCGGGCTATATATTTTTTCCTTACGGCGGTGCACCGCCTAAACGACGCGACCGAGGCTTTAGAAGGCGAAGAAAAATCACTACCAAAACAAGTCACAGCCGACTCCCTTCGCCTTCTCAACTCCAAATTTATGTCTGCAAATGTCCAAGACGGGAAATCATACAAACAATACTCCATTCTTAAATCCTGGTAACGCATAAATCCCGCCGCAGCGTGGCAAGCGAGGGTACTACTAACACTATCACCACCTGTACCACCACTACACATGGCCACCCACCATGGCCGTGCATCGCGACCCGTGTGACACCGTCATTCAAAGGGACCAACAACGTGCGCCTTCCCTTTCCTGCCCGATATTTATCCACCGCGATATGTGCACGCACCGCATTGTTGTTCCGAAGCACGATGGTTCAACGTTTTGCCTGCAACAACAACTACAGCAATCGCTCGATAACAGCTCTAGCCACTCGTTTCCGTTTGAGACGCCTGTAGACGCGTGCGGGGAAGGCCACTAGACAGTCCTCGTTCAAGATTGGTATTAGGCACAACACGGGGTCGAAGGTGCCTCCCCGCCACTGCACGCAAACCCTGAAACCGAGCGACCGCGCGCCCTCTCGATCATACGGTGCTTTCGATGCAAGAAATGGTTAGTACAATATTGCCTAGAAGCCCCACAGCGCTATCCAGCCGGGCGTCAGCTACGAACTAACGCGTTGGGCCCTTTAAACAAACCAGGCGTTCGCATGGCCTACGATATGATAAGATCTTCTAGAACAGCCTCTAAACCTGCTGCTGCTCATAACAAAATCTACTTATACAGCGCCTTGGCCACGCTCTCGTTCTCGACCTTGGGCGGCACATAACACGACGCATCTTCCACCGCAGACGCCACCGGCGGCGTCGAGCCCCAGCACACCGCACCTTTAACGTCCTCCGGCCGCAGCAGCAGCAACGGCACAGCACCAAAGTCGCCGCAGACGCCCTTCCCACCCCACCGCTGCTTACCCTCCTTGCCCTTCTTTGGCGGCACGTACACCCACCCTCGGGACGACAACGCCATGCTCCGCCGCAACGCCATCCAGCTCGCTACGAAACCCACCAACATTGCCAACGTGCCCGCAGATAACACCAGCATCGTCACCAGACCCCAGTTAACAGTACCGTCGGGCAACATGAATCGAACATTCAAGTCGTTGACCACCTCCAGCGCCGGCTGTTCCTGCGGCTGCCATTGCTGCTCCGCGAGCAGCGTCGCGGATGTTTGCGAGTCCTGCGTGTAGGGGCCCAGGGCGAAGAGCATCCCCGAGTAGCTGAAGGTATCTTCATCATTGCTGCTGCTGCTGCTGCCGCTGTACGGCTCACTGGAAATTAGGAAAATGGTGCCAGTGGTGGACTCCATGCTGCTGCCAAGGTCCGCAGGGGACTCGGTGGCGGGTCGAACCTCCAACGCGAAGTTGCCCATGTGGGCCAAGAGCACCAGCTCCGCAATGCTTGCGAGTGCGGCGAGCGCATCGGGTGCGTCAACACTGCTGCTGTACATAGTGCCGTACAAGCTGCCGTACTCGCTGGTTGCCAGGTCGTCGTTGTCCTCCGTGTAATAGGTGAAGTACTCGTAGGCCTGCTCCAAGTAGTCAGCCCATTCATCCACGTCCGCGTCCTGCTGCTGCTCCTTGGAAAGCAGAAGGTCAACAAAGGCCATGGCCTGCGACGGCACAGAGCGCAAAAAAAGAAACAAATTTGCGCGGTGTGGACATAAGAAAAAAGATATGGAAGGATACATACACGAAATCGCAGCAGCACCAGACATTCTGGAGAACAGGAGGATTACCTATTTCGAAGGCGGTTGGCACCCCCATACTTTCCCCAGGAGGCCCCAGTACGATCCAGGATATAGTGGCGCTCTTCCTAATCCGCGGCCTTTTACCTTCACCTCTCAGACCGTCACCTCACATCTGCCCCCCTCTCCAACAGCCAGGAGGACAACAAGTGGCAACACATTACCACACCACCAATCACCGACACAAAAAATATTTACGGCGCCATTACCTTGATATCTGCAACACCTTGATATCTGCAACACAGCCACAATCCCAGTGGCTAATCGTCAAGCATCCTTACCTGGTAATAGTCCCCGTACACGTCGTACTCGTACCCAAAGTACAGGTCATCATCGCCGCCAAGGTCGTAGTAGGCAGGCCGGCCCTCATCTGGGTCATCTGTCTCGACCAAGCGGTATGCGTTATATCCGAGATCCGCTGCCCCGGAGGCCAACGCCGCCTCCCCTGCCTCCGCCTTCGCCACAACAGCCGTGTCAACCGCAGCAGAGCCCGGAGCACCGTCCCCCACTTGCGAGGCAGCTGCCGCGGACCCCTCCGACAGCGAGGAACCCAAAGAGGATGCCTGTGTGGTCGCCGCCTGCACCGCAGCAGCTACCTTCACCGCGGAGCCGCTGGCATCCCCCTCAGTGGCAGCTGCGTCTAGAGGGGTGCTACCCTGCTGCTCCTGTGCGCCATCCTCGACATCGTCGCCGCTAAACACCCGCGCGTAAGCGCTATCCAGCAGCTTCAACACGCGGCCCTCCAGACCATACCGCTCTCGCAGCGATAAGCCCTGCATCAGCTGGCTGCTCCTCCCCTCCCCTTTTGCTGCCATCAGATCCTGCCATCGTCCCCACACGCCCTCCTCCGCCTCATCATCGTCATCATCATCATCATCATCATCATCATCATCATCATCGACGTCGTCATCGTCGCCGTCGAGATCGTCCATGTCAGCATCCTCCTCGTACTCGTAGTCGTACTCATATCCGTACACATAGTCGTACTCGAACTCCTGACCTTCAGCATCGCGTTCTACATATTGGTTGATCCACTCAGAAGCTGCCCAATCTTGCGCATCCTCGTACAGCGCAAGGTCGTCCCAAGAGACGCTTTCAGGCCAGAGGGGGTTGGCCTGGTCACGGAGAATCCGAGAACCAGCTACCGCAGCGACCCCCGCCGCGCCTGCATCACTGCTGCTGCTGCTGCTGCTGCCGGTACTGCTTTCATCGCCGTACGAGCTTGAAGCGCCACGAAGGAGCGAGTCGGCGGCCATGTACGCAGAGCGACTAGAGACCCTGCCAGCCACGTAATCCTCAATGTACTCCTCACCATCGCCCGCAGCAGCTGCAGTGCTGCCATCACTGCTTCTGCTACTGCCAGCTACTGAAATGTCCCCGGGGAGCGCCCGCGCGTCGGAGTCCTGCGTGTGAGTATGTGCGCACGCGTCTTAGGAAGGGACACATCTCACGTCGAAATATGCAGATGCGTGTCCGCGCTTTAATGCTGTGGGCCAGCGTTTGTCTATGCGTAAGGCGGACAATCGGCACATCATGCGTGACCCATTGGTTCGTCTTAAGAATTCATGCCCGAAAGCCCTAAGAACCGTCAAATCACAGAGATCTTTCTCGCGCTGGACTGTACTAGCCAGGTCTACCCCCAGCCAAGCCGCAAACCCACCGGGGCCAACGACTTCAACTTCCTGTTATTGAGGTCATGTAATATGACGGCGCATATGACCCATCAAGGTCCCAAGCCGCCTCTAGAACCGAGTTACCTGCCCCGTTCAGCGCCTTCCGCCAAGGCGGACGATAGCACATCCCACCTGCTGCGCCGCCTTAGTCAGGAGTGCGGCACGCATCCGAGCGCAGCCCACTTGGCGGAGTTGTTGCGCTTGCGTGCTTGAGCTAACATCATCATTTCCAGCTAGACCTTCGTTGAGGTGCTGCAGAATGGCCTGCTCCAGTGCTGCAAACGCGTTCAGCTGATGCTGGACCCTACGCCCAGAGAGCATAACCGGTCTAACATCCTCACCTTGTTGCTTCACAATCGTAATAAGAATTAACAGTTGAATGTCTTGTCACCCAGTTTAAAAACAGCTAGACCCATAAATCTATAATAACTTGGACGATAGCCACACGACCATAGTCCGGGGTGGGGTATAGCCGGTCGCGCGAAGACAAAAACGCACACGCTGACAGCCCTGACAAATATACAACAGGGTTAATGTAACAAAAGCCATTTCGCACCATGAATGTGGAGATATCCAACCCGAAACCACCGTAGGTCTAGACTCGACGTGAAACTCCCAACCAGCGCTTTCTGAGCCGGGAACGATCTCCGACGCTGCCAGAGAAGCTTCCTACAGTCAGACAGAAGATGGTTAAGTATACCATGTTTCGAGGAATAAGTATTTCGGCTGCTGCTGTCCCTCCGGAAGAACATTGCTTACGTGTTGCTCAACTAAAAGCCTTCCCTGCCCTTGAGATAATAGGTTGCACAGGACCAGCGCTGTACACAATGGAGCCCATGGATAGGGGAGCAAGCGCTCCTTGCGCGCCATAAGCAGCTGCAATTTACACTTATCAGTCTTCGTAACTCGGGAGATATGGCCAGATGTATTACTCAATAAGCTCTAGCTTCCTACCCCTGTTGCCACTGTAATGTTGCAGGAATGCAACGTTTGGCGCAATGGCCTGCTGACGTGGCCACCCTGGAGCTTCACGAACCTGACCGAAAGTTTTCAAAGATACAAATCGTACCTAACTTCTACCAACATATTTGAAAAGAAAATCCATATCTACTTGGCGGTAGATAGCTTTGTGCGGCGTTGTTGGGCACGACCTGGTTCGTAACCTTCAGGTAGGCGACCGCCAACTGCAAGCAGCCATTCTCAAAGTACTGTCTCCTTTCCAAGGTTTTCTTTCGGAATGGAGGAAATGAAGAGACTCAATCCCTTACCTATTCCACCGGCTTAAGCCACACCGAGGGCGAACTCCACATTCGCCTTGCGAAGCTCCTCACAACGCCTGTGGCTGCGGCGCCCGGTGCCCCACTTTCCTCCCAGACGGCTTACGTTATATGGGACATGTAGGGCCTGACTCGTAGCACATGCTGTCGTGCATACGCATACAAATGGCCTACATATTGCCGTATATGTCGAATATCTTCCTGGCGCCTGACTAGGCACTTGGGGCTGCTGTCTGCATGTTCCTTCGCGTCCCCAGCTCACCCTCCTGCCGGCGGCCATTTTACAAAGGCAGATGTACAAGCAGATGTGTATATTTGTACGAATGGCCAACAACCGTGTATGTAAATGTGTAAGTATGTATGTTGGCCAACATACCCGTGCACATGCACATGCATACCTGTGCATGTACGTGCATCTATGTAACCTTTTTACCATGGTGCAGGCTTTATGCATCTCCGCATCGTGCGCCACCTGCCGGCCCCGTAACATCGGACGACGGTCTTGCATGCGCCCCTATCCGCCGCAGCTGCACAGCCGTCCTGACCTGCGTATCTGCTTTTGACACGTATGCCTGTCTATGTGTGTCGGGCCACGTACGGCTACGTATGTGTCTCAGCAGCGCAGCAGCGGTAGCATGCGGGAGCACGTTGCTGCCAAACCGCAGCTGGCAGTGGAAATAACCAGATACGGATATAGTAATGGCGCGCCGTAGCAACACACGTAACAGAGGCAAAACCCTACCCAGCAGTACCATTAAGCCCAGGGCTGCCACGATCGCCTGTCAGGGTGCCTGACAGTAGATTATCTTTGCTTGCGCCGCGCGTACGCTTTAACCAGACACCGCCCAGATTGCAGTGGTCGCGGTATAGCAGTCACCCACAAACGGAACTGGGCGGCAGAACCATATGATATCATGAACGAGAACATAATTCGCCGGACCCACAAACAATGGGCACATTTCCACCAGAATTGGCTGCACTCCTCAACAAACGTCCATAAATCAGACGACCAACACGGCCACACAATCAATCACATCCGCCATGAACTCCTCAAATGCGAGCCGACCATATAAATCCAGCTGCGCCAATAAATCTTGAACTACAGGACAAAGTCCGAACCGACATTGATTGATTGTCGAGATCATATTCTCGACGATCTATAAGTGTGAACCCCACCGTATATAAGGGCGTATATATAGACCCCGTCAACCAATATTGAGAGATCTCCATAACACAGTTGAAAGTTCTCGTAAGTTGTTTTACCGCTTGACTGTCTCTCAACTCTTTTTACGCAATGCCAGCATGCTCAGAGCGGCAGATTCTTGTGTAACATTAGCCATGTACGCCCACGTGGGTCGTGTACACAGGCGGGCCGATAGGATGCATCTTTAAAAGGGGGAACACGGGAGAACACGCGTCGAGATGGCCACTCGCTTATAAGCACAGCGAACTCATCCCACCCCAGGCGCATGTGCCCAGCACAGCCGTGCAGAACACCATGCCAAAAGAGTAGCCAGGAACCACAGCAACCGAACCTATACAAAGAAGGCACTACCCTAAGGCATGGAATGCCGGAGTTTGAAGCAGCACGCAGCGGCTGCCAAGCCGGCACCTGAAAACAGGTGGTGTGATCATATCCTGTCCGATGCCGTAAAGAGCCAAACGTATTTCGGCGGAGGCTTCCCGACGGGACGTACACCCGACAGTGCTGCACACATTACACCCGTCCCCACTCTCCGGGCAGACCCAGGTCCACCGGCACAATCACCAGCTGCGCCTGCTACGGGACGCTGCGCGCCTGCTTACAGGCACTCGTAGAGCTAGGCGAAACGGCAGGCTGATTTGAACGGAGGGTTTGTCTGCCCGCTTCCATCATCTTGCTCCTGTAGCTTATCAGGACCTCTCCGCCTGGGTATATATAGCCTCGCGTACTTGAGCGGGTGACGCAGTCTACCGAGGCTACGCTACAGTCCGCGCTGAAGGATCAGAATCGGAAATCCACAATCGTCAGCCAGCCGCGCTCTGCTCCCTTTCCCAACGATAGAGAAACACGTGTCTGCGGCAAAAAGCTCTTGCAATTGCTCTGACTGCAAGTGCAGAAGCACCTGCTCTAAAGTGTAGCTGATATTTTTCGGATTGTGGTGCCCAGGCCGACTTCAACACAGTTACACATCAGGGCCACATGACGTGCAAACCTTTTTCATTATCATCAGAGCTTATGCAGTGAGGGCGATTCGGAGTCATGAGAAAACCATGCAAAGTTATCAGAGTTACTATACCCCTCCCCCAGCCTCGCCTCCTTGCCGCCAGGTGCTGCGCTTTCATCCAAGAAATGCGACGGCAGGCGTCACCCCCGCACCAGACCGCGAAATCACGTCCACTCGTAATTCATGGCCGCTGCTTGCTTGTTGGATGCTACCCTAAAACACATCCACATGTATCTATTACGTTGAGCGCTGCACTCCAAGCGATTGATTTCGTTCTCCGAAACCAACACAGACACCTGCTGCTGCTGCTGCCTCTGCCGCGCTCTGCTGCTATTGCCGTGCTCTGCTGCAAAGCAACAGGAAACAGCGAAAATGCCCCCGGGTACACGTATATGCACAATACACGCGCTTTCCTTGACAACTGCCTCCTCATTCACTAAAATGCTCCCGTGCCTTATGAAACCCTCGCAACCCCCTCGTCAGCTCACTGCACCGCACCCCAAGCACCTTTCCCCTCCCCCAACATTTTCAGCCTGCAGTTCCGCCCGCGTACGGCGCGCACTCAGCCCCCTAACACTGCACCGCCTAACACTAACCGCCCAAACCAACAACCCACCTATCCACCTCCTCATTCCACCATATGAACACGAAACCCGTGCTGATGCGCTGGACACCTCTGACAGGAGCGGTACATAGTGCTAAACAATCGGCGTCAAACTCCCCTGCTCACTGCTACCCCCGCGCCGTCTCCCACCGCAACCAACAGGCCACAGCCTCCAACGTTTCAACCTTCACGCCTTGAGTGAGCTCTCCACAAATTCCATGGCACGGCGCTTGACGTGCTCCACAGCCGCCGTATCGCCCTCCTCCTTCTCGTATTCCAGATACCGCCGGAACAAGAACTTCATCTTCTTGGGCGGCAGTGGCAGGTGGGTGGCCCGCTCGAACAGCGCGCGGATACGTTGCTGCTCACCAGTCTGCAAAGGCGCGACAAAGGCAGCGGCAACACAAAACAACACACGACACAAATTCCCCCCATCTTGGCTCACAAGGTTATAACAAAAGAACACCGTTATTTCTTAGCAATACAAAAAATCAAATCTAAAATAGATCCTCAGCAGCAGCAGCAGCAGCAATACCAACAGGATCTTAGTAAGGCACAGTCGGCTCCAGAACCACAAGCTTCCAGCACCGAAGGCTAACAGCCACAGCAGGAGAACGACAGGCATCGGATCAAGCCAGCAAGGCCAACATCCAGCAAAGGTAATAAATAACGTACGTAGGAGAAGAGGTCAAGCAGCTGAACAAGCCACCAGTCACAACACCCGACGCCCACGTAGGATATCACATTACGGGAAACTGCAGAAGGATCGCAGAACACTGCGACTGATAAGAACAGATCCGGGGGGGGGTCTACATATCCGTTGGAAAAACATGCAGGGGAACGGCGTCTGCTCGCGCCGACGGGCGTTTCCTGTTACGACAGAACAAAACACACAGCTTAACCCCCAGCTCCCCGTTTGGGGGGAGAGGGAGAGGGGTGGTGTGCATCCGCGTACCTTGAGCTCCTGGTCAATGTAGACATTCCACAGGTCGAGGCGCTTGGGGTAGTTGCGCAGGACGCCTTCCAGGATCCCCCGGCCCCGCTCCGCACTGCCCAACCTGAACTCCGCAAGCGCCGCTCTCACAAGAGCCTTTATGTGCTTTCGAGGGGGCAGAGATTGAAGGGCGCGCTCCAACAGCTGCCGGGCAGACTGGGCAACGCGCAAAGCCCGGAGAAAATTGGCATACGGGACGGGGGAGGGCGGGACGTAGGAGATGAAGATGGGGGTCTCTAAAGGTTACGAATGGGCGGCTGCAGCAGAGGTGGTTGGAAGGATAAGGAAATTGAGGATGGAGGTGAGGTGGTGCGGAGGGAGAGAAGGTGCGGAAAAAAGGTGGCGGCGGCGTCGAGGACAAAGAGAAATTTCGTGAGATGCGGAAAAGCGAAAAGGCCTAGGACGAAAAATTTAAAAAGCAAGAAGCGATTTCGCACGCCGTTTTAGCCCCGGGGCGGTATAGATCGCCGCGCGAGGGGCAGATAAATCGTGCATGTCATTGTGCGGAGGAAATCAGCCGGACTGCGCCACAATAGAGTACTTCGGGTCCCCCGCGTGAAACGTGGGACCCGAGAGACGAGCCGGATAGTTGTCCGCCGCTGGCGTAACCCTGACTGTCATCATCCAGAGCACGAAAACCTATCACTCTGCACCTACAGCATCATCAACATCAAGGTCCGCATCCACAACCCACACCCGTCCATCCCCAGCCCCCCAAACGCCAGCCAGCGGAACTGACATATACATCCACGTCGAAGATTCTTCACATACGTCTCGTCCCCCCTTCCATCCAACACATAAAACACTGCCCCATGGCAGTCCGTGCACCGCTCCCCCCGGCTCGCTCCGCAGTGCCCCACGACGCGACCCCCCCATCCACAACCTCTTCCTCGCCCCACCGCACTTCATTCTCCTGCTCCCCCGCTACATGTAACACGGATGCCGACAGCCGACAGCCCCACAGGGCGGCCCCGACCACACAGGGCGGCCACACCCCTCCACGTCCGTCCTCACCTCCCCGTCTCCCTTCTGTAGCGAACGCTCCAGAGCCCTCGCCCAAACCTTGGCGCTGCCGCCAAACTTCTTAGTCAGGGTCCGCACCACCTGCTCAGCCAGATCGTCACGACCGCTGCGCTCAAAGATGCCTGAGGAGCGGGGCCAAGTGCGGCGGCACAGCAATCGCAGCAGCAGCTGCTGCATGAAAGGAGAAGAAAACAGCAAAGCGCAGACCCAAACAAGAAGTAAAGCGCCGCGGGACATCAGGGATAAGGCAAGGAAGCGGACAGGGGCTGCGTGAGAGGGGGGAAGGATGAAAACTGCCCAATCGCAAGTGGGGGGTCGCAAGGAACAGTCCGGTCACCAGGCTGCTCAGGAGGCAGCGACCTAGCCCGGGCAGGGCCGCAAACCACCTTCCATCCTTTCCAACCCTCTTCTCGCCTTAACAATACGCTCACACAGCCGTTTCCGTTCCAATTAAATATGCACCCATTCCGGAACATAGCCTCCATCTACCACATGCGTACACCCTTCTTCCCCAGCACCTCACACCGGCATGCCTAGAGCTGCAGCTTGATTTTAAAAGAGCTCTGTGGCAATCATCAACCCAGTCTTAGTTAGCTAGGTAGTTACGACAGAAGACCCGGACGGGACTGGCGCCCGACACTGCTTGCAAGTGACACTGCATGGATTCACGGCGGCAACAAAACCCCCAGGCTCTCAGCCCCTGGTCGCCGGGGCACCCACCCAGGGCCGCCAGGTACATCTTCTTCTGGTCCGTGTACTGCAGGGCCCTCTTTAGCAGTTCCATAACCGCCTCCTCGGGACTGGGAGAACTGCCGTACGCATTCTCCAAGTTGAGCCAGGCCACCCACACGTTGAACTTCTCGCCCTCCTCACTACACACGGCATCCGGAGAGACGAGGAGCGCGGGGAACGAAGGTGGGGGAAGGGGAGTCCGGGGGAAACGAAAGGGGGGAAAGGGGCGAGAATTGATGCAGCACGTGACGAAGGCGCCGGACGGGACTGGGAGCATGCGGGGAAAAGACGAACCACGAACGAGTGAAGTTGCTGCCAGGGCAAGAGTGTACCAGGAGTAGAACTGACCAAAAGGCGTTCTTGAAGCATGAGCATGCGGCCGACAGGGCACGCGTGAGAGGAGGAGGGTGCGGATGGCTAAGGCCATGGAGAGGTCCACGGCGAAGTATCAAGAGGAGTGCGTCATGTGGTGTGGGGGAGGATCTCGCACGCCGTTTTAGCCCCGAGGCGGGTTAGATCGCCGCACGAGGGGCAGATAAATCGTGCATGTCATTGTGCGGAGGAAATCAGCCGGACTGCGCCACAATAGAGTACTTCGGGTCCCCCGCGTGAAACGTGGGACCCGAGAGACGAGCCGGATAGTTGTCCGCCATCATCTGTATCACGCCATCACCACCACCAATGCCACTGCGACTGCCGGAGATGCGATGTCTCCCCCACTTCACCATCCCCGCCCAGCTCGCCAGACAAACAGACGAACTGTCAAGACCGACATACAGAAAAAAAGGCATCCCTAATCCTCAACCGAACGAACAATAGCCTTGGCTATCACCATCATCATAGCGCACGCTGGTGGTGCTATCACCCGCCAGAACCGCACACATCTCTTCGCCCCTTACGCCGGCTCCCCTCAGCCCCACCCCCTCCCTCCCACCCCACCCCCGAGATCTCACAGCCACCCCTACCGGTAGTTGATGGTATCCAGCGCCCTCTGCGCCACCTTCCGTGCCGCGTCCACGTCTCCCTTGCCCAGGTGCAGCGCCATGTACTTGATCCAGACGAAGGAGCTATTCGGGGAGGAGAGCACCAGCCGCTCGAAGTCGGCGGGGCCGGTGGCGGCGGCGGACCCAGACAGCCGAGCCAGCTCTGCAGCCCTGAGGGGGGTGAGGTGAAAGGTGAGATGAGGGGGTGAAAAAGGGGGTTGACGCGGTTCAGCGAGGGGTGGGTCGTCCGGGCTCTGATGGTGGATTGATAGTTCCGTCACCCCGGGGGTGTCCCTAAGAGACGGTCTGGAGCGAAAGGGAAGTCAAACAACAGAAAATGTGGAGCTTTCCTTGAAGTTTATTTCCGCCTGGGAAATCTATATCCCCGTGAATAGCCCGAATTCCTTTGGCGGTGGTCTTTCTATTGAACTTGTTAAATTGATGGCAAGGAAATTGTCGGCTAAATAGAAGTGTCATTTATCACCCTAAAATCGACCGCAGCAAGACGCCCACAACGCTTTTTACTTCTTCACGCAGCGCAGCTAGCCTTCCGTAACCAAAGCACCAAACCGATAATCCACAAACCCCGCTCCGGAACGATTTCCCCTTACTCACCTCCCTCACCCCCCTCCTCACCGTTCCCCCGCCATCTTCCCCCCCTCACCAAAAGCTCACCCCTAAACGATCCTTACCGGATCTCCAGCTCACGCTGCTCCTTGAGCCGCTTCTTTTGCCCCTTGGACAGTTTCTTACTCCCCTCGCCATCAGCCGCAGCCGCCAGATCGCTACCGGGCCCGGCTCCCGCCGCACCGCCAGCGACCCGTGGGTCATCCGCCAACAACAGCTCCCCCCACGGTGCGGTGAGGTCCAAGTTGCCAGCTGCAATTGTGGTGCCTTGGGAAAAAAGGAACACCCCGAGGAAAAAGGAACACAGGGTGAAAAATGGCATCATCCATAACGCATTAGGAAAGTGGGACGAAGGGACGCGGTGTAGTCAAGGTAAGGGTGAGGAACGAGGACCGTACGTTCAGAAAGGTAGTGGCTTGATTTGGAAACGCACCACTCAGGTACGGAAGACACGGATGCAAGGTGCTATCAGTCTGGGACGGCGGATGGAGCGATGGTAGGTGGTGATGGGCGGGTGGCTTTCCCTCATACTTCCTGGCCTTCCCGCCATCCCCAGCACCCCGCCCTCACCCCTCAGAAGTTCATACCTGGCCGGGATCTCGCCAGTGCGGCGCCGCCCTGCTCCTCCTCCTCATCCCCATCACCCTCCTCCTCCTCCTCCTCCTCCTCATCATCATCATCATCATCATCGTCGTCGTTGTCATCATCCGATACTTCAACGTCATCTACATCCCCATCGGAGCCCATCGCCCGGGCGCCTCCCTCCCCATCCTCGCCCATCTCGTCGTCATCATCGTCATCATCTTCACTGCTTCCCGCGGCCGCGCCTGCTGCCGCAGCCGCTGCGCCGTCCTCAAGTCCCTGCGGTGGTCGCATCGCACCACCCGCAGATCCCATCACCCTCAGCCAATATGAAAAGCAGGAGAAACTGAGCAGAATCTACAGAGCCCGCGGTGTGCAATGGAATCACAGAAGTCAAGTGAAGCAGGGCCGCGCGTACTTCAAGCAGCGTCCGTTTCGTGTCAAAAGCCGCAAGATCTGAACGAAAAGAACGCCTTCCAGTAGTATGTAAGCACACGCAGCGGCAGGAAGGAAGCCATAATAATCCTTGACTAGACGGACACCCCACCCCACCCCACACATCCCCCCCCGCACACACACAGCCGTGGATGAAACCCAAAGTAACCTCACCTCGCCGTCATCGTCATCATCGTCTTCATCCGCCCCAGCTTCAGCTATTTCGCTGTCGATATCAGACGCGCCTCTCTGCCGCTTCACGCCCTTCTTCTTGCCTCCCCCTGCTCCTCCGCCGGAATCACCCGCCCCGCCAGCCTCTGCCTCCGCCTTCTCAGCCTCGTTAATCGTGGAGGGCTTCATAGACAGCGACAGCCGACTCGCCTCCACATCCACCTTGGTAACTACAGCACGGACCAGCTGCTTCGACTTGAAGACCGAGTTGATGTCCTTGACAGGCCCATCCGCCAACTCGCTGATGTGCGCCAGACCCACTAACCCCGGATTGCCGCCCACCTCCACAAACACACCGAACCGCTCCACACGCCGCACACGGCCCGAGACCAGCTGCCCCGGTCGTAGCTCGGATAGGGACTGTACGGCAGGCGCTGCGGACCCCGAGGTCTGGCGGGTGGCAGAGCTGTGCCCGAGGCGGGTTAGCGCGGAAGGGTGGCGGCAAAGGAATTGGGGGTGGGTGGGTTTGCAGGGTTTAGTTGGCTGTGGGGGCGAGACATCTTAATGTGCAAAAAGCAAAGAAATCCTCAGCATCTGCCGATGGCTGAATTACTTCACTGCTGATCTTTGATGGGGAGAGGGAGGGAGGGAGGGATGCACGAAAAGGGTTAGAGCAAGGGTGGAGAGAGGATTGCGAGGACGGTGCGCGTCATGTGTGCGAGGGAGAGAAATTCGGATTTTTATGCTTTTCTACTCTAGACGTGGAGCTGCGCCGCGCCCCTTCTCCCCTCTGCAACGTCATTCTCCCGCCCCCCGCCCCATTCAACCCATTCAACACCCCCACCATTCCCCCCTCTCCCGCCCTCCACCTCCCCACCGCAAAGTGAGCTCGATCCGCCCTCCTTCCCCCACTCGCAGCACTCGGGCCTCAAGCTGCATCCCCGCAGGAAAGGCCGCCGCGGGGTCCTCGATGAAGCCATCAGACAAGTTGACCAGCTTGATGTGCCCGTCGCGGAACCTGTCAGCAGCCGCAGCACAGCCACCGAGCGGTAAAAGACGCGGTTGGCGCCGCCGCCACGCAACACGCCTTCAGCATGACGTGGAATAGGATGGACAGCGAAAAGGCGAACGCAAGAACCCTTCCCCCCTCAAAAAAAAAACTAAACTGGTCCTTCCTTCCAGGCATTTCCTCCCCCCTCCCCACGGGTTTGCCCACAGTCTCACAGCCCACGCAAGAACCATAATGACACCACCACCACCACCACCCCAGTCTTCTTATACCTGTCCAACGCCAGGAAGAGCCCCTTGGCGTCACACCGCTTCACGTAGCCAGTCACCGTCGCGCCAACCTTGAGTGAGTCTGCACTTATCAGCTCCGGCGCCGCCGCAGCAGTCGCAGATGATGATGAGCCGCCCTGCTTCTTGCTCCCCGCAGCCGTTACCGAGGGCTTGGAACCCGCCACAGCGCCGCCGCGCGACGGCCGTAGCGACAGCACCGCAAAGTCGCCGTCGCGGCCCAGCACCCGCACACGCACGTACGCGCCTTCGCGCAACCCAGCCCGCGCATCCGGCACCCATTCGTCGTAGATATCCGTCAAAGCCACACTGCCGGCCCGGCGATGCCCGATGGAAACACGCACGCCGCCGCCGTTGGCGGCCAGGATGCGGCCCATCACCAACGCGCCCTCTGGCGGCAGAGGAGCTGCGGTAGTGGCGGCGGCGCCGCCGCCAGCCACTGACCCGCGGGTCGTCCCGCTGCACGGATCTATCAGCGACAGGTCCAACGAATTCCGTTTGCGGCTCACGGCCAGGACACGCGCGAGTACGACAGTACCCGGCGGGAAGGTGGAGGAGAGGTCGGTGAGGACGTCGGGATCCAGGGAGGCGTCCAGAGCAGCGACACGGCCGCGTACGGCAGGTCCCGCGCCGAGCCACAACGCGTCCTCCGCCACCTCCAGCACAAAGCAGGGCAGTTGCTGACCGGGGGCCAGAGAGGACAGCGTCACAGAGGGCACCGGGGGCTCACCCTGGACCAAGACATAGGAGGGAAGGGGTGAGGGGGGAGGCCCACGGCAGTGGGGAAGGAGGAATGGAACCGCAGCATGGACGGAGTTAGCGCTGATTGGAAAAAAGAAGAGGGTTTTTTTGCCCTCTTGCTGATTGGAAAAAAGAAGAGGGCAAAAAAACCCTAAGGTAAATAAAAAGGGATGCTCGTAAAAATAACAACCCTGAATTGTCGTGACCTTGGCGTCGGTGGCGGTGGAGATAGTGGTGACGGAAATGAAGACGTGGAATATGCGCGGGAAGTGGCCGCCAAGCATTACGATGGAAGACAAGACAAGCATGCAAAGCGTGTGCCGCCTGTCCAGCAGCAATTATTTCTTTTTCCTCCCGGGTCATTGGGTTTAAAAAAATACACAAACAAAAACATCTCATCCATGTCCTCGACACCTCCCAGGGGATTAGGAGAGCAGCAGTCATCGCCTTGGAGAGGCTACTGCCGCTCGTACAGCCGGCGCCGAGAGAGAAACGACAGGCGCAAGTGCAACCCCTCGCCTCTTGCCTAATTTGGTGCGGTGAGAAACTCCGCCACGACCCATGGGCAGTAAGTAAAGACGGGGTCGAGCGGGAAGACTCGCACGTTGTGCATGGGTACAGAGCCCTTGTGCCGTCATCATCGCAAAAGGCTTCATCAAATTGACACACACATGAAACAACGGTGTGTTATCGTTCTCACATTTGTGGGGCAATTGTGGAGGGATGTGCGACGATGGCAGCAGCAGCAGCAGCAGGGGCGAATGGCAGCAGGGGCCTTTAATAAAACGGATAACTCCGGAAAAGACACGACGTTGCTCGGGTGTGCTCGATAGACCGCGGCGAGGCCGGCCATCCCAACCAAAAACCTCAACAAACTCCGCCAACCAACAACCAAAACCCGCCTCCACCTCTCCGAAACCAAAACCACCTCATCACGTGGATGAACAGCTACACGCCGTACCTTCTTTGCCTTCGCCAGCCGCGACGGCCGCAATGACAAATCCCAGACACTACCCGGGCGGTGGCCCTCCCCGGTTTGTAGCCGACCTAGCACAACTGCCTCCACTGTCTGATGCACACGAAAGCTGTCCAGAGGATTAACACTGCAGCTGCCGCCGCCGGTGGAAAGAGTCGCTGCCGCCGTCGCCGCCGCCGCCACTGGCTCAGCCCTCCGGGCCTTCTTTGCCGCGGCCGGCGACGCCGCGGCACCGCCATCACTGGCCGCAGCTGGCTGCGCCGCCGTCGCTGCCGCTACCAGCGCGTCGACGTCCACGTCAACCACCTCCGTCACGTGAATCCGCCCCGTCACCTTGCCGCCGCACACGGACACGTCCAGTTGGTATGGCTGAATGCCCGTCACCACCGCCTCCACGACCGACCCAGGGTCAAGTGTCACCTTCTTGCCGCCGCTGGCGGCGGCGCCCTTGCCGCCGGCGCCGCCGCCGATGCGCGTCAGCGGCACGTGACACACGATACGCCCCAGCGGCGCGTCCGGCGGCGTCGCCGCCACCGTGGCCGTGAGCCGCTGTCCAACTGTGAAGGTTCGCGGCACCAGGTCGGGTCGCGGCGTGTTGTAGTCGGTGACGGCGGCGTAGGCGAGCGCGGCGGAGTGCTGCGGTAGCGACAAGATGAGGTACTCCCCGGGCCGTATGCCCTCCACCACCGCCTCCACCGCCACACCGGGCTGCGTCACGAGGTTTATTTGCATGTGGCGGACAAGGGGGGATAAGTAAATCATACGCGAGAAAGTGGGATGTGAAGTGAACTGCCGGACGGAAAGGGTGTGTGTGTGCAGTAGGTTCACATTTGCCCGGATATCAAATTTGCTCCTACTTTATTGGCAAGACGAAATAGCCGCGAATTCCGTTTACAATATATTATGTTTTGGCCCTCCCCCTCCCACCCAACTTCATCCTACACAGCGTACAGTGGACCACACCACACAGCACGAGGGTCTCGAAAAACACATCCATGCACCCTGCATGGGTCCCCACCCCGTAGCCTTCGCGCGCCCTTCTCCCCACCCCGCCACGCGCACACCCATCCCTCGGGTCATCCCCCTTCCCCCAAACTAATAAGCCCGTAAGGCTCCCAACACGCCCCTCGCACCTTGAGCTGCCTAGCCGCCGCCCTGCCCGCCGCCCCGTCCTCGGCGGCCGCCACCATCCCCGGCTTCAAGCTGAGCTCCACGAGGCCCTGGTGGCCCACCACATCCAGCACACGACCCCGCACTCGGGTGCCCACGGCGGGGGAGGGACCCAGGGCGCCCGCGTGGCTGGAGGGAACCAAACCCACCACGTCCTGCGGGAGTCAGGAGGCAGAAAGCAGCAGCATGGAGACCCAGAGTCAAGTGGTCGGGGATTCACCCGGATACAGGGGGGGAGGCGGAAGCGGGGGAGAGAAACGGAGTCCCGAGGGGGAAATCAATCACAAGATAGAAAGCCCACCATCACGGCACGCTACGTTGCATCACATCACATCACATCACAACACGCACCGGATGCTCGTCCATGTCGCACACGATGCCGTACTCCTTGACCTCGTGCACCCTCGCCGCTGCTAAACCGCCCAGCGGGAACACCCTCGCCGGGTCCAGATCCGCCGGGGGCGCGGCGGATCCCCCGTTGGCTGCGCCATTGCCCGCGGCACCATCACCACCACCACCACCCCCGCCCGGCTCGGCCTCCGCTTCCGCCCGCAGAGCCTGTAGCTGCTGCATCTCCTTAAAGTAGTCCAGCAGGAAGGCGCCGTCGGTTGAGGCGGTGACGGACGGTCTCAGCATTAGCGTGAAGCGCTGCCGGGCGGCGTCGCACACGGCCACCTGAGCTCGTACACTCTGCCCCTCGGCGAAGAGAAGGCGGGGCTCCGACACGAACACGTCCGACAGCTGCGGCAAACCGGCACGACCTGCAGTACACGAAAACACACACATACCGACCCACACGCACACGGCACGTTAGCATGCGCGCCGTATCAATGCGATCAGTTCTTCTTAATGCCGTACACAGGCAACACTCGGGGGGAAGAGGGGAAACTGTGGGGAGAAGGGCCTGAGCAGGCATGCACAGCACGTGGATACGTGTTTTTCATGTACGGCAATATAGCACAATATGATCTGGACAGCCGTACATTGGGCAGCGTCCTCTATCGCAACCCTTAAAATCCCCCGCATACGAGTAGGAATTCAAATTTAATGACCCACTCTCATACAAACAGTCGTACACAGTCGTACCTGTAAGGCCCCCTAGGAAGCGCACGTACACAGCATCCGGTGTGACGGATGCCACATAACCAGGCAGTACGGCACCCTCCACTACTTCTTCGAAGCGACGTGGCAGCCGCCCAGCCGCCCCAGCGGCCAGCAACGAGGGCTTGCGGCTCACCCGTACACAGCGTGCGGCCTCCAACCGCTCCAGAACCACGACGCGCCCTTTATCCCACCAACAAGACCACGCCAAGATTGCCATATGTCAAGATACCACAAAAAGGGATAAATGAGAGGAAGGAGGGAAATCATATGTGAAAAAAAATCAGAAATGTCCTACAAGTGGAAGGGGGTATGACAAAGCATATAGACGATTGAAGGGGAAGGGAAAGTAGGTTTGACCGAACATCGCAGAACGAAAATGAGGCTAGTAGAGAGAGAATGGGGGAGAGAGAGAGATAAGGAGAGAAGAACCACATTGCGGTGAGCAAAAGGTCATTTATTGGATCCAAAGCACCCGCTATGTCAGCGTTCAAAGGGCCAACTGCCAACTGGCGCTGGAAGCCGAATAACAAACTGTTCCAGGCTTCTTTTTTCCTTCAGAAACCTCGTCCCCCAAAAAGGAGGGACGGAATGGTGACTCTGCTGAGCGCCATGTCACGAGGCGGGGTGCGTGGGTGTAAAACGCAGCGAGCGCGGCACGAGGGAAAAGATGTACTTTGAAAAACACACGCACACGCACACGCACCGCGCCCCACCCCCACACCCACTCAAGGGGCCTCCCTCAACCCGCACCCCCACATCCCCCTAGCGAGCCACCACATATGCAACACCCGAGGCCCATAATGAAGCGACTTCATTCGACTTGTTCGACTTCATTCGACTTTAGGATCGTCAACGCGCTGAAGACCTCGTTCGCCCCTTTCCTCACCCCATTGTCCTCCCCTCCCTCGCCTCCCCCTCACTAACTCACCTAGCTTGGTTCCCGGCCGCACCACAGCCCGGAAGGCCTCCAACGCGGCGGGATGGTCGGACAAGTGAGGAACCTCTAACCGTGCACGAACTCCAAGAGGGACGCTACCGCCGCCACTAACCCCAGGTCTTTCCAGCCGGCACGTGTAAAACGGCGTCGCCGATGACGCGGCGTCACCGCCTTCGCCGCCGTTGTGGACCTTTAGTACGACGGCCTCCGCAATGTCGCCCGGCTGGAGGCCGCCCAACAGGTCGGGGGTGGAGATGCCGTTCGACGCCGCCGCTGCCGCCGCCTCGGCGGCGGCCGACTTCGACGCCAGTGAGAGCTTGATGCGGCCGCCGGCAGTCGATAGGATGGTTGCCCTCACCACCTACAACACCCCCAACAGCGACCCCAGGACTGGCTCAGAGCAATGACGCGCAGCAATAGTGATGGGTCTAATCCAAACTTCAACGTGGGGTTCAAAACTGGGAGGCGCCGTTGAAAAAGCTCGCCGTTGTGATTGTTTTGTGATTTTTGTAGATTGTCACTGTTGGTGTTGTCGCACAGTGCGGGAGCACGGCATGAACCCGGCTTCCACCAAGCGGCCTTCCTAAGTCCCCAGCCTCCCCCACCCATCCCTTCCGAGTGCGGTGAAGGTGAAGGAGCCGCCGCAATGGCGGTAGCGACAGCGATCGCACCGCCCCAGGGCGATGGGGGCAATGGCAGCAGTGGCGGTCCTGGCACCCCGCTCTCTCCCATCCTCTCCCTGCACCCTCCTCACAACTGTTCAGGAAATACGACATTTTACAGAAATTTATTCCCCCTATCGGCAGAGGTAGTGGTAGAGCACCATTACTGCTGGCTAATGGCTGTATTACCCGAAACTGAACAACAGTTGTGTATTGTGCATCACATTAGGAACAGCCTAGCATACGTGAGCTATGATAAAGATGGAAAGGAAGTTGCGGCAGGTCCCCTACCTGACCGATGCCAAACGCCTCCTTGACGTCCTGCCCGGGTTCGAGTCCCAAGTCGTCGTGGGATGCTAGCCCGGAAAGGCCGCTGAAGAACGACACGAACACACCCAGACGGTCGTGAAGGCCTGGGCGGGTGACAGAGAGGTGGCCGGGGTGTGTGGAGGTGCGTATGTGGAGGTGTGCGAGGGCACAGAGAGGTGGGTGAGGGGACGGGTGAGGAGAAAAGATGGGGGTCGGGCAATGGTGGTGCAGGGGAAATATAATATACATACATACATACATTCATAGTTTTAAGGAGATCTAGGTTGGTGAAACTCTAGGGGTATGGGGCCACTCAACATTATGAACAGATGAAACGCACAAACAACACGTATTTCACCTTTTGACATTGTCCCTGAACATTATATTCGGTATATTAGCCATGACGCTCAGCCCTCCACGGGTAAATGACCCCGAGCCGGCAGCAAACCCTCCCCTTTTCAGGCGAAGAATGCTCCAAGTCCCCCACGTTACCTTTCGTACAGCTCGTACAGTTCCCCCAACCACCTACACCCACACCGTCACTGTCTCCACTGTCTCCCAACCCCTCTCCCAACCCCGGGTCGAAACTCACCGGTTACCATGCCGTGGAATCTCGACCCCGGCACCGCCTGAGCCGCCGAGACCAGCGGCGCCGCCTTGGTTGCCAGAAAGGCCTTACGCAGCGTCAGCGTCACCTTGCGGGCGCCAAGATCCAGATCCAAAACCCGGGCCTCCACACGGTCGCCAACTTTCACCTTGATCCGCCTCTTTCCCCCGGAAGTCTTACCCGCCGCCGCCGCCGCAGCGCCCGTTAGCTCGGACGCGTGCAGCGGCGGAACCAGGCCCTTCACGCCCTCCGCAATTTGTACGAGCAACGGCCCGTCGCCATCGCGATCGGGTACGGAAATGACGGTGCCGGCGACGAGCATCCCCGGCGTTAGGTCAGTGAACGACAGAACGGCGGCGTTGACTTGGCTCGGCCGTACGGTCACAGATGCCATACCGTCCAGAAGGCGGTAGCCGATGACGCGGGCTGGCAGCTTGGTGCCGACCTTGCGGTGCAAGGGGTGGGGAACAGGGCAGAGAGGAGAAAACACTTGGCAAGGTTTGGAAGGAGGCAGGGGCGAGTGTACAATGTATTTGCTGGCCTCGCTGAAAAGACCTCTCAACACGATGTTGGGGTGCGGAGCGCCTTAGCGCGTCATTGTAGACGTTATGCGTGCCGTACGATGTACCAGCTGCTACAGTGGGATGTAGAGATGATGACGTCAAAGGATCATCATGTGTAATCGCTTTTTCGTTCTCGTTGATACGAGTAAACCCCGAGTGCAGGAGTCAGCCAGCCTTGCGGGACTAGCCGAGCCGAGCCAATCCGCACCGCCACCGTGCACTGCAAACGCCAAAGCTCGGCACCCGTCCGGTCCCGTACCTTGTACTTCTCCGCCATCGCCGCCACAGCCTCCTTCGCCACCTTCTTCTCCTCCAACGCATTGGATACGTGGCAATAACCCGCCACCGGCCCCTCCGGCAGCCCCTCCATCCGCAGCAGCAGCCCCGGGCCCCCCGCCGCGTCCAGCCGCACAACCTCCGCCTCCGGAAACACACTGCCCAGCACGGGCACCGGGCTCGGCAGCGTCTGCGCCGCAAGGTGGGGCAGCAGCGACAGCCCGGCGCGCTTCCTGACCAAGTCCGCGTACAACAGCCGAGCACGAAGCTTGGTGCCCTCCGGGTACAGCTTGCGCCAGTCCTTGCTGCCGGCGGCTCCCCCTGTTGCTGCTGCTGCTGCAGCTGCAGACGCCGCTGGCAAGTGGTACAGGTCAACAGTACCGTGGAAGAAGGTCAGAAAGGAGACGAGCAGGCCGTTGGAGAGGACCTGGCAGTGCCCGGTGGGTGGCAGGCGGGTCGATGGTGGGGGCAACAAGAGGGGACGTGCGAGAGGGAGGGAGGGATTTATCTCATCTTGTGTCAAAGTCGTCGTCGTCCTCCTCCTGCTGCAAATGGCTGCCGACGTCCTCAGCAAAATGGCTGCCCATGAACATGCGACGGAAGTGGGAAGGACCGGAAGTCGCAGCCCCCAAGTGAAGCAGGGCAGGGTCCGGGAGGACGACCGGGGCATGCGGGTTGTTGTGCGGCATTTGTATACTGTTTAGCGCACTTAATGGGCCTGGGCCTGGACCTGGCCTGCCTCCCTCCTCCACCCCATTCACACCCAAGACAACCCCTCCCAAGACAAACCAGACTCCCATCACGACCCCACCGCCGCTGAAGCCCCACCCCACCATTCCCATCCCTGCAATCCCCATCATCGGTATGGCCCGCGTATCCGTGTAGGTTTATGTTCTTGCTCTCATTGTTGCTGTTGCTGTAGCCGTCCCCAGGCTCCCAAAGGCCCCTACCTTGCGGACCTTGACGTTGAGCAGCGCCCCGGGCAGCACCGCCCCCAGACCTGACATGCCCTCGGCCTCGCGAGTGACCGCGGCTGCCACGTCTCCGGGCGCACAGCTGACCAGCACGTTGCGTTTGTCAGCCGCGTTGCGCACCACAACATCAATCAGGCCGCCCACCTAGGTGGTGTACGCCCGAATGTATGCATGTATGTCAGGGTGAAGAGATGTGTGTGCGTGTGTGTGTACAAAAGTCAACAAGGGAAACAGCTGTGCGCCAAAGCTCAAAGGTTCGGTGTAGAAACAAGGGGGAGAGTGAACGCGTGTGAGTAACACGTAACTGCTGTTAGGTGAAGCATGAATGGAAGATGAAGCACTGTTGCGACTACACATAGAGGGGAGTTTTGGGTTCGCGTTGCTATTGTGTCAGCAGCAGCCCAACGGCCCACCAGCATCGCTCATTCCGCCCAGCCGCCCCGCCAGCAGGCCCTACCTGCAGCGCCACGCCCTCTCCAAACTGCGCCTCGTGGTCCTTCTTCCGAAGAAAGCCACTGGTGCCCTGGTGGATGGACAGACAGACAGACAGAGGGATGGACACACAGACAGGCAGTAGGGAACGAGGCCACGACGCCTCTTATAAATAAGAGGCAATCCCTGAACGGTGGGCGCCCACTATCATAATTCTGGGGACAAAGTGCAAACAGGGCTCCATCATACATACTTACATACATACATACACAAACGCGCCATTCCCCCGGAACTCCTCATCCTCTATCTTGTTAACTTGTCCCCACCGTCCCCCCGCCCACTCCCATCCTCCTCCTCGTACCACCCTTCCCCCCACCCCCTTCCCCCCACCCCCTTCCCCCCACCCCCATCACACGCGAACCGATATCAACCAGGCCGGTGTCAGAGGAACCCTTATTAAGAGAAACCCTTACCCAGCCTTCGAACCCCATATTCGACCCGCACCCTCACACCCACCTTAATGCCAAAGCTCAACGTGTAGCCGTGATCCTCCACGCTCCGCACCACAGCCCCTAGCGCCAGCCCCTCCGCCACCGCCTCGCTGCCCAACCCGCCCTGCACGTCACGCAGCAACAGGCTCAGCGCCACGTGCTTCGCGCTGCGGCCGCCACCGGTATCCTCTCCTGTCGGCGCCTCCATCACGACCCCCCGTACGAACTGTCCGACAACGAACAAGTCCGTCAGCGGCGGCACGACGCCACCCGCAGCCTCCAGCAGCGCGGCACCCTTTTTTCGAGCGACGTCGCCGCGATCGCCAGCCGCTGCTGCTGCTGCCGTTTTTTGGGCTTTAAGCATGAGCGCCAGGACGTCTGAGGCCTGTGGGCCCACGACACGGCGGGAGGGATGGTTGGAGGGAAACAACAACCAAAGCATCTTATCGCACAGGGCATGTGCACAAGTGGTGGAAGGAGGAGGACAGATCCAGCAATGTACAAGGAAATCCCACGACGGCAACACGTGGTAATCTTTGCCCGCTTGTGCTCCTTCTCATACCGCCCGACTTGAGCGACTGCTCTGCGACTGCCCGCTGCGCCTTGATAGTATCGGCGAGCGCTTTAAAGCTCGTTCGTTGTGTGCTGGATGTTGAGCAATCGCGGTCATGGCAACAAGCCTTGTTGATAAGCGCCAAAGTGCGGATAGGTGCAAGTAGGAGGTCGTTTACAAAGGCCCTCCTAGGCTCTCGGGAGGGGAGCGCTCTGCTGCATGTAGCCGCGCACACGCACACACACTTGACTTGCCCTTACACGATAAAGCACACCCGCTGCACACGACAGAATCACTGCACGGACATAAACACGCACCTGGTTGGGCGCCACGTACCCCCGCAACCCGTGGGCAAGGCTGACGACCAAACCCCGCGGAGTCACCTCCAGCACCATACCCCACACGCGGGTGCCGGCATGAAGGTCCTGTAAAGGGGACCCAAGGAAACGAACAAATGAAATTGTGAAAATGAACACGGCTTTTTCTACATATGTAGGAAACGAAGGGTTAGAAAAAGGGAAAGGCAGGCAATCCCAGCCAGAAACGGTTCGTCTTCATTTGACTCATCCGGGCATGGGGGTCTTGTACGAGTCCTTCATGAGCTTATACGGATTTTTTGTGCGAATTCAACAGGTATTTATTTATATATTCTAAAATATCCACGTGATTTTCCCATCAGTGCCAGCTGTACCTTGACCCGCAGCAGGTCCACGTGCTTGGCGAGTTTGCCCTCCACGGCCGCGGCGTGCTTGCGGAAGAAGGTGTCCTCCTCATCCTCCTGATCCGCAGCGGCCGCGGGGAGCAGAGGCAGGCGAGCAGAGGGGGCCAAAGTGGATATGTGTGTGTGTGTGGAGGGGGGGTTTTGAGGATCCACGTGGGGCCAGTAGCGCTTCTGCGGGAGAATGTTTTACGGGACTGAGCTGCGGCGTGTTTGTTAGGACGGGCGAATTTCGCGTGTGTGATTTTGGCCTAAGAGCGGGTGTGTAGTAAGACGAGGCGGGATCAGTCGTAGCCCTGGCAGCCGTACAGCCGGGTTCCCAACGAAAAGTTTTGTGATGGCTTCCTGGAGGGCAGGCTTTGAGGGTTTCGGCGTGCTGCTAGCGGCTGCTGTGTTGGAAATGGGTGGGCGGGGACCCGAGGCGCGGAGACATTATGAGGAGAGACCAGACCACGTTCCATTGAAGGTGAAAGCCGAGAATTTGCACAGGTTTCTATGTACATGTAGTTAGGGAGGCAATGTCCGCGGCCGTGAAACATGGAGTCGCGTGAGATGGCCGGTGGGGGAAGGTCCAAGGGAGAGGCATGCCGACCAGCGTGTATTCCTAAAATAATCAAATCAATGATAAAGCTACATACGGCATCTGTGCTTCGGAACGCCAGCAAGGGTACCTTATTTGCCGCCGCTATGGCCGTGACGACTCCGGGATGCGGCGGCTTTCGGCGGCGGCGGTGCTAAACCAAAGCCTTAGATCGCATCAAAAGCAAATTAATTGCTCACCTGTTTGGATAGCCGAGCCTTTTTGCTTTTTGGTTGCTTCCCGTCGGCAAGCTCTTGCTCAACCTCCCTCCGCGCTGCTTCAGTGAGCTCACGCCGTTCCAACGCAGTAAGAGTATCAGCGCCACCGCGAGGAAAATCCTCTTCTTTGACAGCAAAAGGATTCCGTGTGGGCTCTTCTAACCGCTGGTTTGGCCGTTTAGCCTGCGGCGCCTCTTGCTCGTGAGGCACTGCACCTCCGGCAGACCGCCGTTTCTTTTGCGACTGTTGCCCGGCCATCGTCCTGGCGTCCGCCAAGACAAGTTATTAACGCTGACTATGGTTCGACATATCGCAGCATAAAAATACTATGACCAAGCAGAGCTACACTGCAAGATAGAATTACTTTAGTTATACCTCAGGATTTAGTAAAACTACGTAGTGAGTTGCGAATTAAACATGTTGTGCGACATCGCTCCAGAGCCTAACTGACAACGATAGTTCCTTCCAAGGCCCACGATTTATCGGGTATGGATACATCATTACATTATAAATTTTGAAATTGCGTAAGACGTAATATTCGTCGACGCGTTTCACAATTCATAAGTGCAAGTAGCTTTCCGCAAGTGCAAGCAGCTTGGGAAGAAGTGGACAAACTCCATAAACCCGACCATCAGGCTTCTGATCAACGATGCCTTTTGGCGAGATGGAACAAACAGAGGTAAAACGACTGGCCAGGTCCTAGCCATAGGGTGTCAGTTAGGTAAGGACGCCTTGTGACGTCTTCGTCAACTGCTTTACCGGCCAGACGGACATACAGGCCTGCAGCGCTGGCTGCATTATAGAGCACGAGTCAATCGTAGATTTGGCACGTTGCCGTTCATGTCATGAGGCGACTAATACCTTCGCCACATCGCGGGCAGTAGCCAAGCAGGGAAAATCAAACGCGGCATCCTTTCAACTGTGTGCCAGTGGTGTTGAGCTAAAAAAACCTTCGCATGACCGTCAGCCTTAAGCCTCCAATGTGCATCACACCCGCATGGATGGAGCGGTCATAAACCCTGCTTGACAGGGGGCACCCAGTGGACACCTAAGACTTAAGGAACCCTTGTCTCTTCCTCACCAGATTTTACAAAAACTCGTCACCGTGCATTCACCTGACTGCCGGGGTACATCGCCAAAGCCACCTTATTTCGCAAGGCTGCGTTTTTCAACCAGCGGGGTCAGCACGTTTCAGGCCCGGAGATATTCGGGACCTCCAACCTCTAGTAAACACGAAACAAGGAATAAGGCTCAAGACCAAGGCGTAAAAGAGAACGACTTGATCTCATGCTTTACCAATTTACCAATAGCGCTAGAACATTGACGGACTAGTGAAAAAGGAATGATAATGCCTACAAGGTTGCTATGCGATCCTAGGAGCCTCGAGAACAAAGAGTTCAGCCTAAGAAAGATCGAGGACAGTTCATCGACAAAGGTCCGTCGGGCACCAAACAGAGGCCATATTGAGAGACCTGCAACCCAACAAGAAGCGGTGCAACCCAACAATGAAAAGCGGCAACCGTCTCGTTGCTGTGGCAACAGCCTCATAGCAACCAGACAATCCAAACCGTCCTGCCCTCACGCACCCAGCATGCGCAGTAGGTGCAGGCAGCACCAGACCAGCCCATTATTATATGCAGGCGTCCGGGCGAAGCCCAACCACATGGTACCATACGCGCCGTTGCATGATTGCTCAAAAAGGAAAAAAGGACGACCCCCCAAAAGCGTCGTACACGCGTGGCATTGAGCCATACGCGTACAAGCCTTTGGTCCATCGTTTCTCCAGGAGGTCCTTGTCTTCAGCACGGCTGCCCTCTTGCACCAAAAAAGGAAATGCTCCACCCCAAAATGGACGCGGCGACCGGCACCCCGCACGCGAGCACACACCAACGTCAACCCACAGGTCATGTTCACCCGCCGAGGCTCATCGATCACTCAAGCAAAAGCAACTAACAGGCAGCACAGACCATGCCGTTAGCTTGGCGACCGCTGCATGCTATGCGAAACGAATTGGCTACATTAAAACTGTCTGGCCTGCCAAAGCTAAGACCCCGTTGCCCGTCCTGCTCCCTCCTTTCTAGGCACGCTTACCTGACATAGCTACAACTGGCAATTGGCGAAGCGTCCTAACTTGAAATTAATGAACTACGCTTCGCTTATCTGCGCGTGACGTAATGTTCTCAACTCTTGAATAGAATTAAGATTTTTCGCGAAAAACAAATCCATCCGGAAAAGGGACCCTAAGATCGCTTCCCGGCTTCACGATATTGGTAAGCAGTCACGCGCATTCAATGACGCCATAACGCATCGCATAGTCACAATCCTATAACCTGCAATCACGCCTCGACAGCGGCACAGCCTGCGCAGCATTCCCAGCGCCTCAAGGTGCCGTGCCCTTGCAACCTCCTTCCGTGCGTCAAACGCTGCCAGCTCGTCTCTCACGAGCCCACAGCGCATCCCAGTCCCCGGCGGGCAACCAAACTGACAAGTTAGTCATGTCAAGTAACATCCAACGCCTTGGCCACCAAAAAGCAGCAATGTCCAACTGCCTGATGTGTGTTAATCGTCTTACATCCTAATGCAGCCACCAACGAGCAACGGTTCGCAGCTTCACGCCATTACAGAAAGCTCCAGTTAATGCTGGAGGGCATATGCCAATGTGCCGTATCAACATACCCTTTCTCCAATCCTTCCCGAGGCCAGAAGAACCGCCGCGCTGTTCCCCCAGCATATCCGCTGCGGGCGCTACATGGCAGCTAATGACGCCCTCCACAAGTCACTTGAGTAAACGAGAATATGTCAAACTACACTGCGCCATGGAACATGCCGTACTCCCTACGCCCGTCAGTACGGATATGGCGGACAGAATTGTGCCCCAACGTTACCATAGGAGGGCCCAGTCGCATACTTCGGCGTTGTCCGTGTCTGCTGCTGCTGCTGCTGCTGCTGGGACATCTGTGCGGTATGATGCGCCCGATGGTACGGCCCCGGCCCCGGAGCCATAACGGCATCTTGGTAATGTTGCTGTATGGCATGGGGGGCTGTAGCTGGGTGATATGCACCGCGCGACGAGTAATAATGCACGTCTGCCATGGTTGGCAGCATGGACTGGTGCATTTCAGCGTATGGCTGCATGACCTGCTGCGGATGTACCTCCCCGTAGGGCTGCAGGACCGGTTGGTGCGCCTCCGCATAGCCCGGCTGCATTATAGGCTGTGGCTGCGGCTGCATCTGTTTCTGCTGCGGGGGAATCGCAGGGTACCGCCACATCTGAGATCCAACCGACCCCGGGCCCGGCATGACTCCTTGTGAGGCTGGCGGAGGAGCCGCAGCTGCTACCGCCGCGTAGGCCTGCAATGGCACTGGAGTCGGCTTGGCGCCGCTTTTGTCGCTCTCGGTCGATTCCGCGCTGTCTTGACTGTCGCCCTGTTTCCTGAAGAACTGGCCGGGCAACGTGTCGACAGGCGTGCTGGTGATTGCGTAAGGTGTGGCTGTGGGACAGGGAAGCCGCACCCCAAAGCCGCCCTGCCCACTCCGCATCGCTGCCAACTGCGCCTCATACGCTTTCCGTACGTGCGGGTGGTATTGCAGCGCCTCCCAGTAAATAAGGTGCCGTACATCAAGCTCTGACAGCCGGGTGCAGTTCTCGAAGCCAAAGCTCGCCGCCACCGGCACCGTCTCCTGCCGTACCTCTGGCAAACCAGCGAAGTACGGATGGGCCAGCGCCTCCGCCGCGCTGGGTCGGTCAGCGGGGTCAAACGCCAGCAGCCGCGACAAGAGGTCCAAAGCAAGCGGGTCTGCGTTCGGAAACTTGCTCGACAGACGTTTTGGCTCCTGGGGCCACAGCGCGGCGGAGGCGCAAGACTGTCAAACAGGCATCACAACGTATTCAATCCTAAGAACCCTATATCTGAAAATAAGCTTTTCAAGTTGTGAGGTCAAGAAGGTAATGGGAAACAGATCCTGCGCTGTGTCGCGCTCCTTGACATCTGCCGCCACCCCGGTGATATAGACGCGCCAGGTTGGGGCAAACACGCACACGCTCCGTCGCACCTTGTGGGGCATGTTTTGTAGAAAATTGCGCGCCCGCGCATTCGTGATCGCCTCAATGACCGCCTGTGATGGCTTGCCCAGCAAATCAGTGACGAGCTGCAGCTGTGAGACGGCGTCTCTACCTATAGCAGTAGCAGCAGGATAGCTTAGGGAATGATAGGTAAAGACAGCAGCATTGGGATGGACCGGACAGGGAACGATGGCCGCCAATACTTGCATGCGAGGTATACCTTGCGTTTCGTTACCGTTACAAGGTCTAACGAAATGGCAGTTGTTTACCACTATGTGTTCTTTACCCCTGCAAAGATGACCGGCAAACGAACGGGGAGAGCATAGCCACTGAAAGCAGTATCCGCATGGTAATCGTTGCTGCGCAATGGCACTAGTGCGCGTAAACGTATCGGCTGGGATTCGATTGCATGCAAACGTGCCAATCGGCAGCCGTGCCACTGAAGGCCCAGGTCTGTGGAGCGCTCCATCGTTGCCCAGCCATTCACTGCCATAGGTGCACTGCCAGCACTAGGCGATGCCCCACCTGGGAAGAGGGGTTTGCTGAGAAGCACCTCCGCAAAGATGCATCCGGTGCTCCACATGTCTTACAGGTTGCCATCATGACAACCAGTCAGCGCAAAACACGCGGGGGACGGCACGAGGGACGGTGAGGCGGAGAATAAAGGCACACGTCAAAAAGGCACTGTCAAGAAGTAGCGCAATCCAAATCAGAAGTTGCCGAGCCACACTCATGAATTCCATTTCCAACATTCATCTATCATAGTAAGGAAAGGAAGGGAACTCGAGGATCAAAGTCAGCGTAGCGTACTTCTCGTCCTCTCTTCGTGGCTGCCGGCACACACCGCCACGACCGCCACAACCCTAAAGTTATCAAGTCCGTTTGCTGTCCCCCCGCCCGGCCCGCCTTGCACACAGCCTTCTGCTCGCCTGCCTGCATGGAGCTTCAGTGAATGACGACGATAGCAAGACGGAGAAAGCGTCCAGTAGGGCCCCAGAATACGACTGTACACAAAACTCTACGAGAGTCAGTGGCAGCTACGCTCACCCACTGCGCTGGTGTAACGGCCGTAGAAGCAGCCGCAGAGCTCCGGCGCGCGGTACCATCGGGTTGCCACGTAATCCGTCCAAAGCACGGGTGTCAGCGCCGTCATGTTGCCCATTATCGGGCGCGCCAACCCGAAATCGCAAATCTTAAGTTTGCAATTGGAGTTAGCCAGTATGTTCTTTGGCTGCGCAGTGGAATTGCGTTTAGCATGGAATTGCAACGGGGGTACGGGCCTTGAGAGGGGGAAGAGCCGGCAGCTATGCGTGCTGTGTTTTGCATGCATGACCTACGTACATAAAAGCGGTTGGCATCCAGCTTAGTGTTGTTCTAGCGTTCGAAATCCAGGCTACCACAAGTAAGCCAGTATCAGCCCCTACACACACGTCGTGTCTGCAGCGGCCCATAATAATAATAATATGCATTTAGGGGCGTCCGCCGCATGTTCGTTTACACCTTTATGGCTAAAGGAGTTTTTGAGCTACAGGACGCAGCATACAGTTCATGGCTCCACACCTTTAGATCGCGATGCAGTACATTGTTGGTGTGCATGAAGTTCAATCCACGAAGCAGCTGGTAGAGGAAAACCTTGTGGTGGTCGCGTGTGAGGTCATCGTTAGCACCTATCACTGTGTGCAAATCGGACTGCGGCATCATGGGACGGCACGAGAGTAGCGACAGCAGCAAGTCGCTTTTTAGGCAGCTGGACACGCATTAGCTCGAGATGGCATAGAGGTACACAGCGGACACCCGGCCCCATGCATCGCGGGGCTGGCCAAGATGAATCGCATCGCAAAAATCCATGGGTAACACTTGGGAGTCGCACGCTTCACATCTGTGCTGCTAAATAAACGTTTACGAATGGTTGCAGTGGCCGGCACCCTTGCCGTCACGTACCTCCATGAGCTCGAAGACTACGTACAGGTCCTTGAACGTATTAGGATCAGCAGGCAACATTATGTGCTTGATCTCCACGATGTCAGGATGCTTCAGCAAGCGCAAGAGCGTAATCTCCCGGAGGATTCGGTGCGCGTCCGCCACGTTCTCAAACACATTCTGCGGGGTTGGGAGTGCATGAGGTAGGGTTTTGGGATGAGGCGCTCCTGCGGAACGCTCATCGCCACCGCCGCCGCCGAGGTACACCGATTATAATGGCATTACCTGTATTTTCTTAATCGCCACTACTTCGCCGGTCAGGTTGTCCTTCGCAGCGCACACGACACCATAGCTCCCTTTCCCGATGAGGTTTAGGACGGTGTACCTAGCGGAAAAAGAAAGACCAGTGTGCAGCGTGAAGAGGTAAGGAGGCTTTCATGTGCACCCGAATCTTGGCTCTACATTTTCCAAGCCCCGCAGCCACGTATGCTTGCCCTTCGTCGGGGACGTTGGGACCGGCGGGGGTAACTGCAAACCGAAGACACCACAAGCCGTAAACTGTATTTTGTTACCTCTTCGTCTCATTGTAACCATTCAGGAATGAGCAATAGTCCGCGGGCGTGTGCTGTGCTGAAGGCGGCAGCTGCCCATTCTGCGTCTGGTGCTGAAGTCCCTGCGAACTCTGGTGATGATGTGTGTCTCGCTGCCCTTGATCTTGCACAAAAGAAGCCATAGACCCTGCACGTGCCGATTCAGTCCTATGAACGATTCCCGCCAGGTTTGCCCCACGGACGCCGTTTCCTCAGACGCTAATAATATTAATTACATATAAAAATCCCTCCTCTACCTATAGGAAGCAAGCCCCGGTAGATCGGTCACTGCGCTCGGTGGCGTGCTCATAAAAACAGCGTGGACAATCATGGATCATAGAAGCGCATCTTCTGGGTTATGCTACGCATTTCCGTAAGTTGTCCCTAATGAGTTGCGTGTTGCACGCCTGGACGTGCAAGTTGAGGGTCAGAGGGGTTTGCGCGCCAAAAACCAGGTTCTACAGGGATGGGATAATAAAGAAGAAAGATAGAGGAGCTTGCCGATTCGCTAAAAGTAATGTATGATTGCGACCGCGCACTAGTGTATGAGGTGCTACCCAATTGTTATCCCGCTCCCTGCATATTATTCGCCGTACACCGTGGATTGTGGCTTCGCTCCAGCACTGTTCCTATCACTGTTCGATTTCGAACCTGTGTTTATCAGAACACCGCCGTTGCTTCACAAGGGTGGCTGGCTGCCCTACAATTGATCCGTCCATTTTCTGGTGATAAGCTGTATACTTGTGCGTGGGTGCAAAAGCTCATACATAAAGCTCCACAAATAGTACAAGCATAAAGCAACGGTCGAGGGTCTGTTCCTTGAGCCGCACGTGTCTGCCATTCGGATGCGCTGCACAGGAGTATGAGTGCAGAAAAACCTGCATGTCCTTCTCAATTTCCTCCGAATATTTTTGCCATTATGATTAGATAGCCTCTCTTTTTCGCAGTCTAGGAGTGTTGACGGCACACGTAACCACTAAGGTTTATGAGGAGGACGTCCAGGGAAACGCGCATCTCAAGCCGATCCGCTTGGCATTCGAACGTGGTGCACTCTCTGCACAACCGGAGTCAGCTCCCGCAGCGGCTTCTCTGGGGACTGTATGCAGAAGTGCTGAATGCACATTACTGCGCGACTGGAGCATTCAATAGCCAACCGGGCCTGCTGAAGCAACACGAATCCTCTCTATCTTTCTGGGTCTGCTCCAGCATATAGTCGCCTTACGCGTGATGCAGAGTCTCATTCGGGTACCGCTGAGTATCTGCCTAACGATCCTGAAGCAGCTTTGCGGCTTATGCCTATTCCGGCACGCTGTTTGCAGCAACCTGCCATCAATCCCAGCAAGGACTGCCAACGTGACAACGTATTCGGCTAGCTCAGTGGGACGTCCCGCTGTCGGGCAATGTTACACGATACCAGTGGAGCGATTGCAATAGGCATCCAGGCGGCGGACGACCCCAGGAGTAGGACTACCCAAGGGGGTTCGCTGCTGCAGCCTGGGGGGAACAAAAAGCTTTTCTCATTACGTCTTTTCACTTCATTGCAGCTTCTTAGATACCATGTTTTGCCTTTAAAGTTCCCTTGGATTATTTACAACGTACACAGTCCCCCGTTAGCTTGTACTTGTTTGGGATGTCGGACGCCCACTCGCGTGATTGGGCTGCTGATCGGGAGATTTCTGTCTTCTGTTGCCCTAAGTGCATAAGCAGGTCAGGCAAGTAGGAACACACGTCCGGATTAGAAATAACAGGACACAGCGCTTTGGAGCAGCGATTTGGTATGGCACGTTAACTGGCACCTACGGCACCTCAACTACAAACTGAAGAATGCGCCTATGTACATGTATCCGCTGAACGGTCCGGCCATGCTGGATGAGGTTACCTTGCAAGCCCGCGGGCTTATCACTAGAGACTGTAAGGATAGTATCGAAAGGTGTCCTTCTTGACGTGACGTGTCGTCCGCTGCGCTCCCTAAGCCGGAGGTGCTTGATTATAGCGCCGTGTCCAGCCGATTTTCAACTCTGTGACGGGACAGGAAGCCGCAAATCATCCCCACGGGTCCTCGGAATGAACTGGAGCATATGTCAGGTACATGTGTTGGCCTTTTGAGCACTACAGACGTAATGCTTACGTGCCGGAAGCACCGCTTAGCATGGAGTATTGTAGGTGGTTAACCCGGCCCTCCTCTGCCCTCCATTTTATTATTTTTTGGCGGACGAAATCACGCCAGCCAGGCACTTACTGCTCAAGTTCCGGCTGCTGGGGGAAAAAGCAGTAATAGGTTCCATTCCCCTACCACAGACAACAACCACTCTGTGTACGACAGTTGCACACATCGTAAAACTTCCCATTGCCCAGTGAAGTCGCCTCCATAGGAAATTGCGTCTGTGTGCATATTTAAGATATTCAGATACTGGGCTTTTAGTAACTGAATGTTTTTTTTCTGTGTGGGTGGTGCACCAGGGTGGTCATACGCCGGTTGCCATGGCATGCTTCTCCTGCAGCCCATCTTGACGAATGCGTGCAAGTTACGTTGGAACCTTTTGGAACCGAGGTTGCCTGACAAATACGTGGGGCCACCCCAGGAGGCAAGGTTCCGTGCCTGCATACTTAACGATCACAACCAATCGGCCTAACTGACATGTCTGAATGGTAAGCCGCACAAGTCCTGCTGCCCGCCCTCCTGGCCACGTAAAGTTGGCTTACGCTCTCTCATCGCGCGCACTACGACCTTCGTGCGCCGTAGGCATGCCACCACACTGCCCAACGTCAAAAACTAGCTAATTAAATGTTAGTGTGATTGCATGCATGAGGTAAGTAAGAGGTCATGGAAAGATCCTGCTCCGGGCGAAAGATCGTTCATTGATGGATCATGAATTTTGTGTGAGGGGCGCCGGCGCGAGGAGTAACGGATGGAGGAGGGATATTCGGTTCGTAGATAGTACGCCACACGATGCACAAGGGAGGCAAGAGGAGAGTGTAGGCCGGCTGGACAGCTGATGTAGGCTGGAAGGTGTACGTGTACATGTGTATGTATTACATGCACCTTGAGTTGCGTTAGGCTTCAATGGAACGGTAGCGCGGTGTATAACCATGAATGCTGTTACAGCTGAGCTCACAGGGTCATCGGTGCCCATGAAGAAACGTCTTGCAGTATGTTGCCTGCAGGCGAGCGGTGGGGAGCACGTCCGTCGTGTATGGGTGTTTCGTGACGCAAGAAGCTAGAATGACTCCTCACAGGTCCTCAAAAGGGAGCGGGAAACTTGGTATTGCGGGATAATTGATATTGCGGCGGGCTCTTGTCGCGTAATCTGCGTGTAGTAGCCGTTATACTGTACGGCACCGTGAACAACTAAAAATACGCGCTAAGCGCGTCCACCAGCATCTCGAGAGGCCTTTTCAGCGGCCAGCTACTACACTGCACAGGACTGCGCGAATAATCTTGCTCACCACCCATCATTACCCCAGCACCGTACACTGCATACACCCCAGAACCAAAAGGACCCCACGTTCTGGACGGAAAGCAAGGTGCCGGGCAGCTACACGAAATCTATCCGTGATTTCCTGGAGAGCCGTCAATGCAAAAAGCTCGAGCTTTCTCAGAAGATGCTGTATGTGACAAAAAAAGTACGAGGATCTTGACGATAACAAGCAGGCGGCTGGCAGAGGTTAAGGCCTGGCTTGGGTTCAAATCCGCCTGCCGACCTCTCGGGGTGTTTGAGAGGTGATGAAATGGAAGGTGGCCCCCCATCTTGTGGACGGTGGAGGGTGTGATATAATCGACTTGCGAACTGACCAGGAACTAAGTTGACGCGCCGTTGATCCGCTAGATTTGGTTGGATGCCGGTGGTGAGTTGCCAAACTCGAATAGTACACTCTGAAGTCGGATGGGTTGAGCGGATTAGGGTGCCCCTCTAGCAGAGGAGAGCAGGGAACTGCCTCGGGAAGGAGGCCACTGGTGAAGCTTAACCACCCTGTAACAACGTCAACAATATTTTTGCGGCACAAAAAAGTATTAGGACTCCTAAAATATCCAACACCTGGCATTGCCCATGCGGCATCTTCCCATATTGATAATTGATTATGGTACCAAATGAAATCCATTACAAGCAATCATTTTTGAACTGGAGAAGAAGTTTGCTTGTAGATTTAATTTCCTGGAGTACATGAGGGGGCCCTACTTTTCAATAAATTGTTTTGTGGCCAGTTGGCCATGTTGAGGTTCTCGGTCAGCAGCTCAGGTCCTCCTTGCCTCAGCAGCCCCCGGGCCTCGCCAGCAGCAGTGTCTCAAGTGGCTCGTTCGGAAGGTGCTCGCTGGGAGTGGGCTCCATCCTCCTCGGCCCGGTGGCCCGGTGCCGTTTCCGCACAACGCTACCGTACTGGGACAGTGAAATGGCCGATACGTGGTTCTTGCCAACTGAACGCAACGATGCAAAAGTAGAGCATGACATAAAACGGCTCATAAGAAGGGCATACAGAATGCATACAGAAGAAACATACGAAAGGTACCGTACCAGGATTTCGGTGCTTGCGGTCTTCCTCAACACACCACCAGCGGCTGTTTCCATTGAACAATGCACCAAGTAAGCTGAACTAAACAAGTTGTTACGTTGGATCCGCATCCGGACCCGCATCCGCGGTGCTGTCCGCGCCCAAACGCGGTACGGTAGTGAAGTCAGTCCTGCAGGGCTGACTTCAGCTGGGGCAGCAAAGGCCCGAATAGGTGCGCAGCAGGCCAACCCAGTACCGGTACCGGTATCACGAACCGGAGAGACAGTCGCAAAAATCATGACGCACTCGCACCCGCCTGCGCCGTCGTGTGTAAAGGCAGATCCAGACATGGCTAAAAACGAACCCAGGTCCAGTTTAACGATCCCCGCAGAGAGGAAAACTAGCTACACGCGCATATCCCATTACCCCACCTACTACCAAGGCCGCCACCAAGGCCGCCACCACACGCATAGGGCTCAGAGATACGCTGGCCTCCGAACTTCCCGCCACAGGGGGATCTACCCTTGGCCTTGCTCGTAAGAGAGCCTGCCTCCTCAGCGCATTTCCTCCGGACACCCTGCAGCAGTAAATTGAAGCGAAATGGAACCTTTCGGACGCGTGAACACAATGTTTATGAGGAGGAAGAAGGGGGACTAGGAGCAGGGTGAGGGGCGGACATCTTTTGCGCCATGGTGTCGCGCAGCACCTGCCCGCGGGAGGACAACGCAGCGTTGGAGAACCTGGGCTGAGTGAAGAGGTGAAACGCAGCTGTGTGTGACGTGAGGGAGTCGAACTGGTGTGCCGCCACACCAGGAGCGACCAATGAATAGCATGACCTACAGTCCTGGCGCAACCAACTCCCCCCAGGTAGCCTAAAGCTAACGTAGCAAGCTCTGCAACTGCATGTCGCCCTTTTCTCGAAGGCCGACATGCGGTCGCAGGTGTATGGGCATAATTTGCTGACTGCTCTTGGAGCCGGAGCAGTAGTGGCCACTTTTCTGCAGCAGCTGTATGTACTGCTGCACTTTCATGTCGGACCTGAGCATACGAGCTTCCGTACTTCTACTACCAACAACCTATGAAACAGAGTTTGGCCAAATAGTTGTTGATCTGAAGCTGGTGCCAAGCGAAGCAGGTATGTGAGACTCAGGGGAGATTTTCTCGGCGCCGGTACGGCGACTTCCTACGGCTGCAGACATGATGCCAGTGGATTTGCTGTCGAGCGTGCCAAAAGCAGAGGTACAGCCGGCTCCTGCGCCCATGGCCTCGCCTTGCCCGTCAATCTGACTTGATAGGCCACGGTGTCACGCCAAAACATCTGGAGCGCACAAATTATGTGCCACGACCGAGTTAGTCGCTGTCCGCAGGTGGTTAAGCCAACCGAAGGTCGTTGGACGAACCTCGTCTTGATTTAGTTGAGACTTTGGGTGTTGCCTAACTAGCGTATAAGGCGCTTTCTGTTGTGGTTTGAGGATGTTCAGTTGTTGTTCATCTGTCGTTAGTCGGATGAGCGTTACGCATCCAGAATAGGGCCTCGTGTGATAAGGCCCGGCGCGGATCAGTCGATACTTCGCCATAAATGCGAGTGCGAAGAGGCCAAACATTTGTCGTTTGGGGGGGGAGTTATCCATCCGCATTTCTTGTGTCTGTTAGCACGTCATATGGCGTGACAACGGCTGGGGAGCGATGGTGTTGCGTGGGCGGAAAAATGCTTGGACCGGGACCGCTGGCCGGAGCCCCCCCTCGTCTTGATCTTGGAGGGCAGCTAGACTACGTCGCTTCGCGTCCGCTCGGCATTGGGAGCAGAGAACGCCCGCTCGGCATTGGGAGCAGAGAACGCCCGCTCGGCATTGGGAGCGACAACGTCCGCTCGGCATTGGGAACCTACTTTGGACGCTGGAGCAGAGGCTTGATAAGGACTGGCTCAATCGTAGGCTCCACACGCCCCCTCGCGAGTTTGTTATTGATAGCCGCAAACTGGCGTACAAATGTATCGGCGCAAGCACTAGATGGGGATGCCGAAACACACCGCCGGTTATATTTCCCCCAAAAGCGGACACTTCCCTTATGAGGTTGGCTGGTCGGCGAAGGGACTGGCGCACTTGTACGGTCTGTAGCAATGGATTTGAGAACGAATTTCCCGTGCGTGTGGAATATACGGAGTACGATGATATCCGCCAGGGTTTTGCTTCGTTGAGTGTCAATATGGGTGACCGCATTTGTTATTCCCGTGCCTATGCTCCATGTTATAAGTGTTGATAACCAGCACGGGTTGGCAGGATTGGTTTACGACATTTGGCTTCAACGTACGGCTATGCTAGGTTGGTTTCTCTTCTGGACTTCTTTTCCTTCTTCTTGGTCCTCTGTTCTTTCCTTTTTTCTCTCGCTTGGTTTCGCGGTCCATGAGCCTTCTGGCTCCTGGCTCATACGAGCTCCCAAGCTTGTAACACCATCAACTTCATTATCATCATCAGCCTACGCAAGAAAGACGTCAAACTTCTTATATTGCGGTTCTGATATGCCTGATACTGCCACAACATCCTTCGAAGCTGGTGGGCGTTTTCAATGTTAACAACAGCGTGGGCTATGCATGATAAAATCTTTTCGTTAACGATGCATATAATTCGAGTTCTCTTCATAATGTATGCCGTATCATTCTACTCGCATAATGCCGGACGGAATACACGGACGGAAATTCGTAACGTGAATACGCAGTACATTGCAGTACCAGCTTCCCAGGAATTAAAGCATGCATGCTTTAATATATGGCAATTCCACATGACCACGAATACACCACATGCTTCTGAAGCGTGTGTGCAATTCAGATGCCGCAACCTTGAACTAAACCGGCCTTTTTCAGTGAGGGAATATGGCAGGGAGAAAGTTTATTGGTGCCTTACGAACATTGTGGCTGAAACCTGAGTACTGACCTCTATTCCGTATGCAACTGCACATCGATGTAGCAACAACAATTACGTTACGACAATTCCATTGCGTTCCAAAGTGTTGTGCGGCCTCCAGCGTATAAAGGTGATTATAATTCCCGATGTATAAAACTTTAGTGGATTATGTTTTTTGGTCGATGTAAACATGTATACGGGCTAACCAAAATTGCGACGTACGAGTGTGGTTGAACTACATGCTCTGGCTTCCTTCACAATTAACAGAACGTTGCTGTTTTATGCCGGAAATGAAACCTATACGCAATTAAGAAATTAGGTGTGCATGATAAATCGCAGCAGGGCTTGGACCGCAACTTATTGCATACCATTTCACATAGCAGTAGGGCCTTCAGTGCAATTAACAGTAACCAGCTACTACGCAATTCAGTTTGGGATATTTAAGCCGAGTTCCACGTCAGTTGCTAGCTGCCGCATTTATGGGGTTCGAGCGACTACTCAAATCTTGCTTCCGGAGCGAAACAGAGGATGTGGGCTCCAGAGCTAGTGCCACTGCATGGAAGGAGCTGAGAGAGAGTGCCATGACAACCGGGAATGCGGAATCTGTGCAGGCCGCAGGTGCTGAGGAGGAGACCTCAAAACCAGGCAGCTCATCTTCAACAATCGAGTGGAACATAGCGACAGGTTGTAAACGGCTTACGTTAGCCAACTTTCGTAACTACGTACCATGCCGTCGCTCGGCTATGTAAAACCCCTATAACTAAGACCTGTATGCCGTGTAATAACAAAAATTAAACACGCGTCAACTGGAAGCGAAACATATTCAGCTCGCCCAGGGCTCTAACCTGCTCTAGCTACTTTCGTCGTCTATGCTCTCTCTTCTCAACATGGCCTCCTGCTGTTCCCGCGCTTTGTACCCGGATTATTTTGCCAGGCGTCAAGAGCCAAAATGGGTTTGGAGAGGCTGAGACCAATAAGCGACCAGCGTCTGGACCTAAGGGCTCCGGGCCAAAACGTCTTGCCGCTCTGATTCTTAAGGCTCGAAGTGTTGACGGGCGCGCAACCTGCTCACCAGCGGACTCCCTGAGGCTTACGAAAAGCACAGTGGTCACTATAACTGAGACCCTTTGGTCCCAACGGTACGACGGGGTAAGTACCCAGTTTGTACTGGAAGATGGCGTGTACGGCACAGCGGCATCTTCTCAGCCGAGCCGCCCATCGCCGCCATCGCCGGCGCTTCAGTCGTCCTCTGGCCTGCTAGGACTTTTTGCCCTGAGGCCGGCAGCCGCCAACGCTGCTGCCAGACCTACAAATCTTCCGAACCATGACCCACAGCAGCAGCAGCAGCAGCAGCAGCAGCACCAACAACACGTCTTTGTGGCCAACTTAGGCGTCGTAACGTCGACTGCCGTTGCCGGCATCAACAGCAGCGGCGGCGCCGGCACCGCCGCCACCACCACCAGCCAAACCGCTATCACGCCCAGCCCCAGTGCCGGCCTCCAGTCGCCATTCACGACCAATCGCACTCCCATCCCAACCATATCGACCGGCACCGCAATCGACGCTCATGACGTGGCCCATGCAGCCACGTCCTTCCAGCTCCAAAACCTGCCTTCCGCTCCGCTGCTGCCACCGCCACTACTGCCATATCCTCACGTCCATGATTCTCCGTTGCGGCGCTTGCTACGCCCGCGCACTGCACCCGCCGCGGGTTTGAAAACCCCGGGAGCCAGTCCTTTCTCTGCGCCGCCACTGCCGCCGCCATCTGGAGGTCGTAACGCGACGGCAGCGCCGCCGCCGCTGCGAGATAGCAACGGGGCGCTAGCAGCCGTGGTGGCCGGCGGCGGCAGCTTTGGAACCGTGGACCTCCAGCTCGCCCTGGCTCCGGGTTCGTCCAGCTCCGCTGGCGGCGGCGGCGGTGGCGGCCGGGGGACTGCGGGACAGGGGACTAGCACAGGGCTGATCGGTCGCACTCTCGGCGATATGCCGGGACTTGACCTCCGGGGCGCGCCACACTACATCGCGCTCAATGAACCCGATCCCGCAGTGCGCCACACGATGGCGCCGAGACGGCTTTCTGCTGCCGCTGGCAGCTGCGGCGGATTTTTGCATGGTGGAAGCGGCGGAAGCGGCATAACGGCCGCCGCCGCCGCCGTCGCGGCCGGTATGAAGTCCATCGGCGGCGGTGGCGAGGTTTTGGTTGGTGGAAGCGGCGGAAGTGGCATAGCCGCCGCTGCCGCTTCCGTCGCCGCCGTTGCAGCACGCATTAGCGGCAGCAGCGGTGGCGGCGGCCCCGCTACGGCGGCGCTGGTGGCGGCGGAGCGCGAGCTAGGTCTTATCCGAGTCAGCAGTCTCAGTGAGCTTTGCGGGCAACTGGAGGGGTTGCGGTGGCTGGCCAGCGGCAGCAGTGGCCGTGTCTTTACGGCTCTGTGGAAAGGCAGCATGGTGGCGGTCAAGGTGGTCATCAGCTCCACCCAAGACCAGCTAAGGGACAACTCCAGGGAAGCCTTGCTGAGTAGAGTGGTCAGCCACCCGGCCATATGCCAGGTACGACTTCGATTTGTTCCCCCCTTTTGCCGCCACCCTGCCCCCTCTGGTACGCGCCCCGCTTGACGGCATGTGCAGATCTAGGTGCCCCGTGTGTGCAGCCTCCCGCCGCGTGCCCGTTGAAACTCTAAATGAAATCCAGGAAGTTCCGCCGCTACCCAGCAAGGGTTAACGCACGCAGCTTGGCGTGTTTGAGCGGTGTAAGCAGGAGGAGCTAGTTGTCCGTACCACTGTTGTACGACGTTGGTTCTGTACGGCGCGCATTTTCAAGGCCCAGGACTTAATATCCCGTAGTTGGACTTTGTGGCTATCTTGTTTGAACGACGTAACTTGCATCAGGGCAGTTAACGCTCTTTGGGGTGGGTTTCAATGAAAGCCTGTGTGGATTCTTTGAGACAATGGATTTCAAGGAGAAGAGCAAAAGCAGGTGAGGTGGGTGGGCTATGTAGGAGGATGAGGAAGCCGACCAGGAGGGGTGTGCTCATGATGTGCGCTTTGTCCACACATTCTTTCTCTCGTCACACCTCTTGTGTCCCTTTGTTTGTTCCATTCAAAATACATTTTGTATCGTATCGCAGTGCTATACCGTCTGCTCGGAATGCATAACGGTGGAGCATTTGCAGGTGCCGCGACGGCACGGGCAAGCTCCGGTCCCCACTGCTGCCGGCAGCGGCGGCGGGACACGGAGCCGCCATCCCGCCGCCTGCTCGGTCACCATCTACACGGATCCCACTGACATTGTGGGCAGCCCACTGCCGAGCTTGACGCGTCCACACATGCCAGCGCACATGCACATCAACATGCATGTACATGCCCTCACGGAGGCGGTCCCGCCAGCTGACGGCAGCAGCGGCGGCGCCGACGGCCAAGGCAGTCGCCAAGGGTGGAGCCCCATGAAAGCCTTTGAGATGCGGCCGACGGCGGCACCGCCGCCACCGGCAACAGCGGCTGTGGCAACGTGTGAGGGGGCCAAACCAGGCGAGGTGGCGCACAACACCTTGTACAGGCAACAGGACTTTATAGCGCAGGATGCCGTGATGTCGCCCGACTGTGCCGCCGCGGTGCCGTCGGCGCTGTCACAGCAGCCCCAGCCCCAGCAGCTAGCGGCGTCGGACAGAGCCGTACCGGGTAGCGGTAGCGTGGCCCGGGCTACGAGCCAGCCGGGAACCACGCCGCTGCCCAGCCGCGTTGCACTGTTACCTGTATCGGAGGAGCTGGAGAGGCTGAAGTTTGGGCGAGGGCATAACTTTTCGGAGCACAGCCTGACGGGGTTGGTCAATGGCGAAACGGTGGAGAAGGGTGTGGCGACGGCGGAGGAGAAGGGTGTGGCGACGAAGGGTTTGGGGTGCTGCAGTGACTGCACCGCCGCAGCTGTCGGACACCTTTGTGGAGGAGGAAGCAGCGTCACGGCCGGGGCGCCCTGCAAGGCCGTCTGCAGTACCAATGCTGCTGCCGTCGCTGGCAACAGCAGCAGCAGCAATTTTCCGTATCCTCTGGAGGTCCAAATTGTACGGGACGCCGGCGGCTGCAGTGGTGGTGGCGTTGCCGCCGGTGCCTACGTGGTCTCATCTCTCCTAGCCTGGAACACGATCCCCGCGGCTCACGGGGGGTGCGGCTTCCATTCTCCGTTTACTAGCGCCAACTCTGAGGCCCTGCCGTACGACGGTCGGTGCTGCCTGGCTACGGCGGCCGAGCTAAATACGACGCTTTCGCTTTCAGAGCTGCTCAGGCAAGCGAGCGAACGGACCAGGGTTGTTCCTATTTGAGTATAAGGCAGGAGCGGGAACTCTTAGGGGACCTCAGGGCACAACAGGCGCAGCTATCGTCACGACGGTGATACAGATGCAATTGTATTATACATATAGCACTACAGGCCTAGGGAAGACAACGCAGGGAGAGCCTTTCCACGGTCCACGGAGCGTTGCGATGCGAACATGTAATGCAGTAACTGGCTTCCATTGAGGCAGTCTTGTGCCGGGTGCCGGGTGTGGTTAGGTGGGGCTTCTTTATGCCACCAGGAGGCTCTGTCGCCTCCTGGGATACACCGACCGAGAGGAGCTTGCCTTGCTTGCCTTTTACTTTTGCCTTGCTGAGGTCTCACACATCACATCACATGGCCGTGGGGTGTCGTACTTTCTGACGTCACCGATGAGCCGCCGCTGGCGGGCTTGCATTTGGAGCGCACTGCCGCCGCCGCAGCGGCAGCCGTGTAGATATGTTGTGTGGTGAACTGTCATAAAACCCTTCGCCAATGGCACGGGAGCCTATAAGAAATTCCTGCCGTTTATGGGCAATTGAGACATTATCCCAACACACACATACATGCGCACAAACACATAAACACATGCTCCTGGGTGCAGGTCGTACACGCCGGCTGACGAGGACAATAACCCGGCGACGCACTCGTTGCCAGCCGTACTGCTATCCATGGGTGCAGTACCGGGTAGATACTGTACCATTGTCGTACTGGAGTGGTGTAACCAAGGTACGGCGGTACGGTAACGTCCCCAGCTGCGCGGTGTGGTAAAGGCCCGCCTGTCAGCCACAGCTTGCATACAGTGCACCCCGGGCTCCAGGACTTGCTTACATTATGAACTGTCCTTGCTCCCCACCTCTTCATCCCCTGTGCCATATGCTTGCCCGCTGAGGCAGGATGTTTGGCGGGCGGGCCGGTGGAGGGCGTAGGTGGAGGGCGTAGGTGGAGGGCGTAGGGACGATTTTGTGTTGTTTGGTGTCACCTAACCACCTTTGCTCCCGCTCCCCCTGCAGGTACCCTGCTCCAAGCCATCCGCACTCGTCCATTCAACCCCGAGCGGTCCCCGGACAACCATGCGGGACTGCTGGTGCTACTGAGAACCGCTCTGGAAATAGCCCAGGTATGCATGTATGTATGTATCCATGTATGTAGGGTTTGTATGTATGTATGTATGTATGTATGTATGTATGTATGTATGCATGTATGCATGAACTGTAACTGTTGATATTTATATGCATGAACTGTAACTGTTGATATTTAATTAATTGGTACAATAATCACCTTGCATGTGCGTATGTGTGTATATATGTGTGTACTTTTGCGTCTACATGCGCCCGCGAAAGAAGTTAGAAGTTGGCAGCTGGCAGCTGGCTGGGACCAGACGCCTCCAGGGTACGATAAGCTGTACCGCAGGTTGGTGTCGTTGTGTCCAGCACAATGGCACCTGTATACTTATGGTCCCCGCCGATTACCTCCTCGGCCTCGGACGCCTCCTCCTGCCCTCCTGCTCTCTTTCCCCTCCTGCCCTTGCCCCTACTTTTGCTTGTTTCTCCTCCTGCTGCCTGTCTTCAGGGTATGAGGTACCTCCACTCCTTGGATATTGTACACGGTGGGTTAGGTTGGGGAGGTAATCCTGCAGGACTTGAAATTGGGGTTGAAAGGAGCGAAGCCCGGTTTAGCCGTTAGGAGAGTTCATATCCAAAATGTCCACATCCAAACGGCTCGTGTTGGCTTGGAAATTCCAGGGAAGGAGGGGTCCAAGGAGAGGAAGAAGCATCACCAGATATCAACTCGCTGTCTGCCTGTTTTCCCTCGTCCTGTAACGTGCTGCTGAATTCGAAAAATGTCTGTGTATATCTGTGTTCTTCATCTTCATCTCGCCTCTTAAAGCTCTGTCCCTTTTTCAGTCTTGACCCTAGCCAACCGACAAAGCGACACACGCACACACAGACACACACACTTCATACCCCGCCTCACCTGCCACTCTCACTGCCGCTCATCCATAATTTCTCCCAACCTTTTTTCCAACACCCTCCCTCGGTGGCTTTCTACCTCTTTGTCCATGTACGGCAGGCGACCTGAAGCCCAGGTACGCCCCGAGGGGCTCGTCGCGGGATGCGGAAAGGGGGGTGAGGAGCTGGGGCATGCAGGAATGCCCGCCAGCGGTCATGTTACTTCCTCCCTCTCGGCAGGAAGAGTTGTTGGGAGTGGCGGCTTACTGTTCTGACGCCAAGTTTTGCCATTCGAGCGCTACACAGTTGGCTGCAGAACCAAGATAGTTTAGGCATTATTTTAAATTTAAAAACAGGATATATTTAAAAAGAGGATTTATTTAAAAACAGGATTTATTTAAAAACGGGATTTATTTAAAAACAGGATTTATTTAAAAACAGGATTTATTTAGAAACAGGAAAGTAAGGGAGGTTACATGGGGGCCGAGGGCTCAGGGCTACTTACGGGCCGACAACAGGAAACAGCGACCCGCAAGTGCGATCGGTCGCTCGCATGGGGTAAAGGAGCTGGAAAGGCCCATTGGCGGCCGTCGTGATGGCAGAGGTGTTGCAACTCCACCCAGATGCTAGGAGGGTCGCCGGCCGGGAGGTTGGCGGGCGTGGGGGCGGGTGGGGGGATGGGACCGGGGCTAGGGAGCAGGTGGAGACGGCCCACGTGCAATTCATTTAGCATACGGGTGAAGTTATAAAATAGAAGGAAAAGGACAGACGATGCAATGCTTGCGCGCGAAAAGCCATCATCTCCACCACCACTACCGCTGCACCACCACCACCGTCAAAGCCAGGGACACCACAACTGCTGCTTCATCACCAGCACACCTGCCTGCCAACCCACCTACCTAACTACCTACCCACCTACCTGACTACCTACCCACCTACCAAACTATCTACCCACCTACCAAACTACCTACCCACCTACCTAACTACCTACCCACCTACCTAGTTACTAGCCTAGGGTCACTCACCCTAGGCGTCGAACTCGCCTTCACGCTGATTGTAGATGCCGTGGCCATCGTTCGAATATTCACCTCCTCCCTCCCGCTCTCCCTCCCTCCCTTCCTCCCTCCGTGCCCCGCCCGCCTCGCAGCAATGTGCTCCTACAGTCCCACGTGGCGCCCTCCTCCTCCCTCTCGGCTTTTGGCGGCTCGTCTTCGGCTGTGTGGGCCGCTGATATGCGGGGCTACGTGGCCAAGGTGGGCGCCAGGAGGAGGGTGTTGAGGAGGGTGTTGAGGAGGGTGATGAGGAGGGTGTTGAGGAGGGTGTTGAGGAGGGTGATGAGGAGGGTGTTGAGGAGGGTGATGAGGAGGGTGTTGAGGAGGGTGTTGAGGAGGGTGTTGAGGAGGGTGTTGAGGAGGGTGATGAGGAGGGTGTTGAGGAGGGTGTTGAGGAGGGTGTTGAGGAGGGTGTTGAGGAGGGTGATGAGGAGGGTGATGAGGAGGGTGTTGAGGAGGGTGTTGAGGAGGGTGTTGAGGAGGGTGATGAGGAGGGTGATGAGGAGGGTGTTGAGGAGGGTGTTGAGGAGGGTGTTGAGGAGGGTGTTGAGGAGGGTGTTGAGGAGGGTGTTGAGGAGGGTGCTGAGGAGGGTGTTGAGGAGGGTGTTGAGGAGGGTGTTGAGGAGGGTGTTGAGGAGGCTGTTGAGGAGGGTGTTGAGGAGGGTGTTGAGGAGGGTGACGACGGAGGGTGATCAGGAGGGTGATGAGGAGGGTGAT